CGGGACCACGAAATTTGGATTTCTCGAGGTCGATTACCTGGGAAACCGTCTTTTTCGGGAGAATTTACGTCAATTTTGAGACCAAAGAGAAATTATGGAGGGGGGTACTGTCCCCTCTTTAGGGAATCATTTTTGGGCCTTGGATGGTCCGATTTTGGATTTTTAGGGGTCAATTCCACGTGAAATTTTCCGTGCTTTTCAATTCTGATGCGATCGATCCGCAATTCGGTCGGGAACCGAGACTTTCAGCATCGTGACCCCCCCTTTACCCCCCAAGGGGGGGTGGGAGGGTTTCGGGACCACAAAATTCGGATTCCTTGGGGTAAATTCCCTATTCAACCCCGCAGCCTCCGACTTCGTATGACCTAAACCAACCGAGAAAAAGGCCTGGTACGGGTGGTCTGAAACACCCTGTATAATACCATTGTACATTCAGCAATCAAAGAGTAGGTGTACGAGGCTTTCGGGTTTTTGCATGTTACAGATAGAGCAAACTTCATTTAGGCAAATTTTATACGAGGATTGATGTACTTGAATGAAGTCTTTGTTATTTAATCTAATTTGACTGAGGAGTCTCTTCTCTTTAAAGTTACAATTGGAGTTGAAGTGGCTATTTCTATTACAAGGCTGATTTGGGACAAGTGGTATATAATGAGGAATAAAGGATGATGCTTATATTTTCTCTATGTCCTGTGAACGTAACAATTCCTCTGTTTTTTGTAAGTAACAATTAATAATTCCTTTTATCTCAGAGGGTAGTAAGTATTCATCAAGTATATTTTCACAGCCTACTTTACTGGGGAAAATTTTTAGTTGCGAAAACCAATTGAATTTTGGAACATTTACATGACTGAAATCTAGTTCCTTTAGACACTTTAAGCAAATTATAGGGTACTTGGAGTCATCCATGCTTTCAACTTTGACTAACCAATTCAGTGCCTTTTTGATAACTTTTACTTCTAGTTTACATTTGCCAGTCTCCATTCTAATGGCACAGTGGGGCGTACATCTTTTCCATCTAAATACTGATTGAAAGAATCTGCTTTAGGCAACTTCTATTTGATCACAGTATCTAAGACCCCAAATTTCAGCGGCATACAAAAGTGAGACCGATGAAATCGAGTCCTGCAACCTGTTTATAGTCTCGAAAGATTCATTTTTTGACTTGGATAAGATTTCCTTTATGACACTGGCTGAGATGCTGGCACGACTAATTGCGTCATCCACTTGTTGTACGAATACACCGCTACTTGAAAATTTAACACCTAGGGTATACATCGGGTTGCCATCATAGTAAAACTTAGGTGTCCTGCCGGGGTTGCGCCCTTCGTTACAAATTAAGATTTATGTTTTTTGGTGTTCACTACAAGGTCGTTATCAGTACAATATTTTTGTACAATTCTAAGCTTTTTCCGGGCATCTACTTCGGATTCAGCAAGAATGACTAAATCATCTGCGTAGGCAAGAAGAAGTATGTCGACTTTAATAGTGATATTTATTCCTCGCACTTGTTTTCTGAGCTCGGATTCAATATCACTGATAAACAGTATGAAGGTTAGCGCGCTGACGGGGTCGCCCTGTAGGACACCATTTACCATAAGTATGTTCAATTCATTGATAATTTAGTATAAAGATTATTAGATCAAAAGTAACTCACTTCTAACACCTGGATTTGTGTGACAGATATTCTCCAACACACGGTAACGTCCAGCTAAAGTGAAAATGCGCTCTGTTTGTTGACACTCTTCAACAACACGTTTGATATATTGTTTGACTCCGGGATAGGCGTCTTTGAACTCCTCAGCCATTTTTGTGGCAGTTTCCACGCTGACACCAAGTTCTGTGCTTAGGGTGTTTGAGCCCATTCCATAGATCAGACCATAACAAAGCTGTTTTGTCTGCTGTCGCATTGTATCCGACACCTACACAGAGACAAAAAAGACGAATCTTAAGAGGCTTTTAAATTGTATGGAAATGTATTTAATAGACTTAACCTTCTAAAAATATGAGATACTGTTACTTTTTTTTTTTAATTTGTCGTAAATTGACATCTTTCAAAAGTTGTACACTTGGTTTCTTAATCTCTAGTTTTTATCTTTGCTTTGCTTTACTCGTAAGACTTCGAGATGCAAAAGAAACAAGGATGAGATTTTCATAATTCTTAAGTATACAATTAGGAATGATATTTATTTCCAATTAATTATGAGGTATCATGAAATTTTTAAAATACTTGTTGCTTGTCTGCAGACATGTCAAACCACCTAAGTAATTGGTTGCAAAAAGTATTTTCAAGATGAAAGAGAGAGAAAGAGAGAGAGAAAACTGATAATTGTTCCTAGGACCGTTCAGAGTTGTTTTTAAAGGTTCTCAGAAGGGTTACTATAGGAAGTAGACCTTTTATCTGATAACTTATGTGTGGTTGTACCTCTTCTGCGGGGACATGATTCCACTTGGCAGCGATGTTGATGAACACATCTCCAGACAGTAATGCCTCTTTCAATGATTCATCTCCTGATAAATGAGCCAAAATACGAAGTTCTAGCTGCCGAAAGTCAGCCGACAGAAATTTGTTTCCTGTGAACAGTAAGAAATAAGTCATTCGGTGACAAGGAAACACGAAACAAGTTCCATTTGTCTTGCGATACGGAACAAATAAATATCTAGGAAGCATATGATCTCCTCAATACTTCATTTTTAGGTCAAAGCCATTTCAGTAGGAGGCTGATGCTCATTTTTTGATTTGCACTCAATGATAAATTCCGTACAGATTAGGAAATAAGAAATTTCTTATGCACGCAAAGAAAAGAAGTATCATAGTAAACGGGCAATTCAAGAAAAGAAGAGTAGATATTTTACAAAAAATAACTTTTTGATTGCTGTAAATACTATTGAAAAAAAAAAAAGAAGTTTTGATGACAATAACTGAAAAGGACCCCGCACACCTCTTACGGGAAGCTGCACCACGACCGATTGCCTTCTGACTTATGTATTTCGATTCTCCTCAAAAAGCTGATCAAAAGTTATGATTCCGCCAACTTTCTACGATGCACCGTTTTCACAAAAAATCAAAGCAAAGATTCAATTATTCGGCGAATATGAATAAAAAAGAACAAGGCATTTGAGGACAGGCCCGATGTAAATAAGGAAAAAACGTAGCGTGTGTCCGTCTTCGTATCTGTACCTGCCGACTCAGGGGCTATCTCCCTCCCGCGCTCGCCTGGTAGACGTTCAGACTTTCCTGTTCTTATGCTTCTCAAGAATCTGATTTGGATGGTCGAGCAAAACGGCGTACGGAATCCGAGATAAGACTGCCGCTCGGTGCGGGAGTCCCCATGATTTCCTTGTTGACACATAGCCGCTTGTCAATCGAGCATTGAAATGAGGTATCTTTCTAGCTTTTTATCACCGAATAATTGAATCTTCTCCTTGATTTTTTGCGAAAACGGTGCATCGTAGAAAGTTGGCGCTATTATAACTTTTGATCAGCTTTTTGAGGAGAATCGAAATACATAAGTCAGAAGGCAATCGATCGTGGTGCAGCTTCCCATAAGAGGTGTGCGGGGTCCTTTCGTGTGGAAAAAGCATTCTTTCAAACTCGGAGACAAGGATTCAGGCAACTGTCTCAAACTTCGAATTTTCCATGACATAAGTAAAATGAAAAGTTCCTAGTTGTTTCCGAGATGTAGGAGGCTGTGACTAGTTTTCTCTTTTCAAACTAATAAATATTTTCAGATAACAACAATCATCAATCAATCATCAGAATCATTGATAAGAAACACAGCTATCAGACAGCTACTTGAGCAGTTGGAGTTAATCGGAGTTAATCATCTATTGCTATGAACATCAATGATGTAAAATGGTGATTCCGCTAAGGGGCCTAAATTCGAAAAAAAGTTCAGTTGTGCGAGGAGAAAAATTCTGAAAGACAGCAGCGGATAGGTATGTTGCTATACATGCAATGCAGTAAAGTAAAAGTATAAAAATAAAAAATCCATTTGGATAGAGCTGTAAGGCCGTAATCTATGCTAGGATGGTACAGCTTATTTCATTCAAGACATGCTAAGCAACAGTACAAGAATTGAAATAGGTAAGAAAGATTTATTACGAATTACTTACATTTCTACATGGGTGTATATTGCCAAAACGTTTGTCAGTTATTTTTTTCTTACCCATTTCTATTCTTGTACTGTTGCATCCTGAATGAAATAAGCTGTACCATCCTAGCACAGATTATTGCCAAACAGCTCTACCCAAATGGGCTTTAATTATTATAATTTGAAATTAGACGGCTTGAAAGCAAAAACATATCGTAAGAGTATAAATATATTATGGTACAGTATTTAGTTTATATGCGTAAGTATAGTATAGTAAAGATTAGAAAATTTACAACTACATACTTCTCATTTAGAATAACAAAGAGGAAGTCTCTTTCACTCCACTGTATTGAATCTTCCAAAATACATTTGGGCAGTATTATTTTTTACACAATGAAATATCTAGATTATTTAAAGCACATAACAAAAAAAGTATTTTGTGATGATAAGAATAAAGCACGAATTTAAAATAAAGCAAAAGAACATAGAAGAGAAACACCAGACAAAAAAATATTACCTGTAGTTTTCAACGACCAACCGGTTTGAGTTTTTGAGCTTGAGAATTCAGGACATGACTATTTATGTGGGGTACTATAGACTCGCAAGGGTCATAATCTAATTCCAGACAAACAAAATGAAGATTTTGGGAAAACATATGGCTGCACACGATCAAGACTGGAAACAATTTGAAGAAATATAACCACACATAATGACAAGGCATAATCCAAGCCCAGAAAATGAGAATGTTAGATGTCCATGAAAGGTGCGCGCAAATACCCTCAGAGTGAAACATGATTTATGTAGACATGAAATAAAAAAATTCTTCGAGTGGAGAAATTTTCTCCAAGGACACCTCTTCTTGGTGAGTGTTAGCTCTGAAAATTTTTCAGTGTACTCATATTCACAATGAGACTTCATTTAAAAAAAATAAATAAAATAAATTCATAGGTAAAGTATAAAGTTAGTTGTTTACACTGAGGATTGGTATGGAAAAATAAAAATTAGTGCATTTTTAAGACAATTTTACCTAAAAAAAGAGGGAGAAGGGATGTAGCAAACCAAATTAGAAGAATAGCAGGCAGGCGGAGAAAAAACTTATATGAATTACTCTATACAAGCGATACAATGAAAAAGAAAGAGACTTGGCGGTATCTGGACTAGATTTTTCAAAGCTGGCTGCAGCAGGCGCAAAATATCCTCACCAAGATCTGCTAAGTTGCTCAAGATTGTTACAACACCGCCAAAAATCAAGTAAGAACATACTATTGTTAGGTTAAAAATGCAAAATTTCCTTTATCCTGTGGGAACACCTATTAGTGGTTTAGATAACTCCCTCCTCCCCTCAGTCAATAATCAACAAAAAGGGAGGAAGCAAAATATGCTGAAAGAGGGTTCATTTTGTAAAGGTGTTTTCTTGCGACCTGTAGGTGCTCAGCGGAGATTAGACATGGGTGAAAAAACCAATGATTAGGAATTAGAAAGACAGAGACACGATAAAGAATTTTCACCACACAAATTTTAGAAAAAATGAAGAAGGTAAACTTGGCAAGAGAGCCTTGTTGAAATAAGGGGAGGGGGAGGGGGAGGGAAAATTCAATATATACGGTTATATCACAAGAATATTTTTTCAGTGGGTCATAATTATTTTGCAGTTGCGTAAAATAAGACAAATGAAGTGTTTAGCAGCAGAGAAGCATGAGCCGATTCCTTAATTCCACAACCGCCCAAAAAATTGTATTAAAATATCTTCAACCCCCAGGAAAAAGTGCTTAAAAATGTTAGAGATTTTTAAAGACAGCACAAAGAAAAATTACTGACATTTTGTGGAGTATTCATCCCCAGTCTGAAGGCAAGTCGATAATATACAATATTTTAATTTTTTTTTATTTTTGCAGGTTTAATGGCTCATACCCCAATAATGTGCAATATGTTGTTATGAAATTGAACAATGGGTCACTAGCAAGATAGGAATTAGAATGTAGCTGATGCTACTGGTAGCATGTTCTATTTAGTTTGATCAATCCATTCATCAAACGCAAATATATGACAAGTTAAGCATAAGAGGGAAAAATCTGGCTTTGCATTTGGTTCAGTGGTGAGAAATGTAATCTTAAAACAAAAAGTACACAAATGATGGAAGGATGCAATGGTAGTCAAACGCTGGAAGAATGAAATGTTGCACAATTTTGTAACCAAATGCAGACAAACATTTTCGTAGTCAAACGATGGGAGAATGAAATTTTGCACAATTTTGTAACCAAATGCAGGCAAATATTTACAGATAAAATTGATTTTACATCATGGCTCCTTTTATACTTCAGACTTAGAATTTTGTAACCTACCTTTGGCAGAAAGGAAGGCTGATCGAGGGCTAAAAAAGTGACTTGCGATAGAAAAATCACGAGGAACCATTTGCAAATTCGGCTCCAACATTGAAACTCGTCCTGTGACAGTGTGCGTGTAACATGAGCCATGAATCTTGCTTGAATTGGAACTTGCCAGCAGCAGCGGATTCAGAACCTGAATGTTTAAAACGTGATTGGCATGTTAGTTGCACAACATAATTACAAAAAATAGCCATTTAGTAAGGCATCACAGGAGGAGCAATACTATGTTGATCATATGGTGTACCTTTACTTACACTTTGCACAAGTCGATATATAAATATCCTTGCGTCATAGTTTCACAGAGATATGGATAAGAACTGGATACACAGGTCCATAAAAAATATTGATTAAATTCTGCCTTCATCTTTTTGCTAGTCAAAACGAATGGTAAACCTATGGAATAAGCAAAAATATAATTCAGAAGTCATGTTCCTATCAGTTTGCTCGGCACAGCGAGCGTCACAGGGATGATCTGAGCTTATCAACCTGACAAGCAGTGTTTGCAGCTTAGCATGAACTCTTAGCAGCAGCCATCTGGCCTCCAACTGTTTTTCTTAGGCGCCAAAATGAGAAATTGCCCTTTCAAAATGCTTCAAGTCAGGAATACCCCATTGAATAGCTCAATGTCATAATGTTAGGACAAGACCCGATGGGTCACAAGACTTAACGAAGACAGAGGGGAAGAATGGATGACCCAACACGACGTGGCACCTTGCAGAATGCGCCCAAAAATCCCGAAAACGGAGTTTAACAACGATTTCCTTAGTGGCCAAGGCTCGGCCACTGGTTTCATTTCTTAGCGGCCAAAGGGGACTTCTTACCGGCAAATTTCTGTTGGGCCAGCAAGTGTTTCGAACATTGCTGACAAGGTCAGATTTCTAGGGCTCTGATTCGTTCTGGCAGTAGGCAAAAGCCTGGATTTCGAAGCCTGCGCTCTATCCAACCAATAAGAATACGATGCTCTATCAAATTGAAACAGACAGCATCAATTTAATGGCGGTGCAATCTAATTGAGGAACAAACAACCAATGGTAGCAGCAACCTGGTTGCATTGATGCACTTTGTTTGATCGCATGACCCAGGCTCATAAATAGATGTGAGATAAAGATTGAATATTAACCAACCTTCGAAAGGAGATGATGAATTTTGCGCCACTGAGACATTGATACTATGATTGGGTGCGTTTCTTCTAGTTTCATCTCTGCTACTTTCAAGCTTTTCTTGACCTAAAAAGCAGTTGTTGAGAGAATGAGAATCATTCAAAATACAATACTAGTCCTGACAATCAGACATTCCAATGACGATAGTCAGAGAATAATAATTACAAAAAAACTTGTGAAGGATTCAATTCTATATTGTATTTATATACAGGGTGTTTCAGACCACCCGTACCAGGCCTTTTTCTCGGTCGGTATAGGTCGTACGAAGTCGGAGATCGCGAGGTTGAATAGGGAATTGACCCCAAGGAATCCGAATTTCGTGGTCCCGAAACCCCCCCACCCCCCCTTGGGAGGTAAAGGGGGGGTCACGATGCTAAAAGTCACGGTTCCCGACCGAATTGCGGATAGATCGCATCAGAATTGAAAAGCACGGAAAATTTCACGTGGAATTGACCCCTAAAAATCCGAAATCGGACCATCCAAGGCCCAAATTTGATCCCCTAAAGAGGGGGACAGTACCCCCCTCCATAATTTCTCTTTGGTCTCAAAATTGACGTAAATTCTCCAGAAAAAGACGGTTTCTCAGGTAATCGACCTCGAGAAATCCAAATTTCATGGTCCCGAAGCTCCTCCTGCTCCCCTTGGGGGTTAAACGGGGGGGCTCAATTTTAAAAATTGAGGCTCCTTTCCGAATCGCAAATTGATTGCATCCAAATTGAGGAGCAAAACACATTTACATCTTAAGTGACTCCTAAGAGTTCTAATTGACCCCCTTGAACGGCAGAAAGTAACCCCTGAGGAAGGGGGCTTCGCCCCCGCCAAAAATTTCTCAGGATTCCTCTTTGGTCGCAAAATTGACGTGGATTCTCCAGAAAAAGACGGTTTCTCATGTAATCGACCCCGAGGACTCTAAATTTCATGTTCCCTGAGCTCTTCGGGGTCGATTACATGGGAAACCGTCTTTTTCTGGAGAATCGACGTCAATTTTGCGACCAAAGAGGAATCCTGAGAAATTTTTGGCGGGGGCGAGGCCCCCTTCCTCAGGGGTTACTTTCAGCCGTTCAGGGGGGTCAATTAGAACTCTTAGGAGTCACTTAAGATGTAAATGAGTTTTGCTCCTCAATTTGGATGCAATCAATTTGCGATTCGGAAAGGAGCCTCAATTTTTAAAATTGAGCCCCCCCGTTTAACCCCCAAGGGGAGCAGGAGGAGCTTCGGGACCATGAAATTTGGATTTCTCGAGGTCGATTACCTGAGAAACCGTCTTTTTCTGGAGAATTTACGTCAATTTTGAGACCAAAGAGAAATTATGGAGGGGGGTACTGTCCCCCTCTTTAGGGGATCAAATTTGGGCCTTGGATGGTCCGATTTCGGATTTTTAGGGGTCAATTCCACGTGAAATTTTCCGTGCTTTTCAATTCTGATGCGATCTATCCGCAATTCGGTCGGGAACCGTGACTTTTAGCATCGTGACCCCCCCTTTACCCCCCAAGGGGGGGTGGGGGGGTTTCGGGACCACGAAATTCGGATTCCTTGGGGTCAATTCCCTATTCAACCCCGCGATCTCCGACTTCGTACGACCTATACTAACCGAGAAAAAGGCCTGGTGCGGGTGGTCTGAAACACCCTGTATTATATATTTATATATTATTGTATTATATTTGGATACACTTATTTTGACTACAAAATTGTTAAATCAGCAATTTCCTTTTTTTTCCGTGAGAGATAAGCGAGGGGGAAGTGGGTAAAAAAAATAAAAATAAGGGGAAAAAAAGGAACAAAAAATGGGAAAAATGAAGCAAAATAAAATAAAATCAAACAAAGAGGCTCCATCCGACACAATGGCCTAGTGTCATTAGAGGGTGTTTCATTTTCGTTTTTGGTTTTTTATTTGTTACCAATTTGTCTATAAGTTTTGTATACCTCTGTACTAAGACGAAAATAAATTAAATTCAAATTCAAAATTCAGATATAAAACATTAGCAAGGGATAGGATTTAGACACATTTCTCCTTCATGTGACAACAAACCACCTGCTCCAATCTGTACTGCCTTCTGGCAACAGCCTGCACACTTAGCGGTATTAGCACCTATACAAGCCGTGGTTGGTGGCCCTGAGAGGTGCCATTAGAAAGGCGAGCTGGCTGGCTCCATAATTTTTGCTTTGAGATGTGTATCGTGTGGCTGACGGGTGCGGAGTGGACACAAGTGATCCGAGTGTCATTCGGATAGCCACGACTGCCACTAGAAGTGCAGGCTATTGCCCAAGGGCAGTTTTGACTGGCTTAGCGCCACATCATTATAATTTTTCAATACATGAATGATTCAAGCTTTCATCTGCTTCATTAAAAATTGGCCAATTTATGGAAAATCTAAAATACAAACTTTTATGCACGAGCAAGGACAGGAGAGAAGGTAAACAAAACAAAATAATATTTTCTGACTTTTTACGAGCATTCAGTTTGCTCAACAATTTTTACAGACAAATTTCATGGGAACAAATGAACCTACAAACCTGCTTCCACTCTTTCGGTGAATTCAAGTTGAATTTTTTCCCAGCCAATTTAAATATTTTTTCCTGAACGGCATTCATTGCAACTTCAGCTTCCAGGCTCATGTGATTGGCCAGCGGCCGGTCGAAAATGATTCCAGCCGATTCTAATTGCGCTAAAATTAGTTGACAAGGCATTTCTAATTCTGAAAATATGAACAGAAGCTTTGATAAAAGAGGAAATGATGAGCAATCGGCAGAGAAAAAGTATTTTCTACCCTAAAACGTTTTGGAAAAAGCACCTTAATTTATTTCTACTTCCAGAGTTACTTAAAAATATTACAGTAAAAATGCGAAACGACTTGCTTATTTCTGTTTAAACATTGCGGACTTCTTGTCATACTTAATTTCCTCTTTGCAAAACTGGTCGATGTAATTTCTTGAAAACTTCCCTGATTTTTTTCTCTCATAACAGAGTATTCTAAGTGAAGTTCGAGCTATAAAATTAGCTCATTTTTCTTCAAAAGATTAAGAGCAAAACTTTTGAAACACCCTGATGGAGATGCAAGGGTTTCTGATTTTGGCCATAGATAAGATAACACTTTTAAGTTACACATCAAAACCTTATTAATGTTTCAAGTTTGAAGATATTTTGAAAACAATTGTTTTAATCTTGGGATTAACCAAGTATCATTTAAAAAGCAAGATAAAGTACAATGTGCACACCTTGTTGTTGCAGATAAATTAAATATAAAAATAATTTTGCTCAAAGCATTTTAGAAGACTCTTTAAAGAAATTATCAGATTAAAAGTAATAAAAGTAATACCTAATTAACATAAAATGTCGAAATGCACATCAAAATATTTGTTGAAACTGGAAACTTTTGATAGTTAATTCAGACCAAAAAAAAAAAAAAAAAAAAAAAAAAAAAAAAAAAAAAAAAAATTAACCTAGGGCTGTTCTATCGGTTGTCGGTAAGCTACCGAAACTGTTCCGTTAAGAAAAAGTTACGATAAGAGCGCTCTTGCCGATAGCGATCAGAGTTTCCGGAGCTGGCAAAAATAAGCTGTTGCCATGTGTACATCTATTTCATGCGCCGCCGCCGCGCCAGGCAATCTGATAAACCGACACAAGGGGCAGCAATGCGTTGAGTGCAAGCTCTCAAAAATCCGATAAGGCCGGCTGTTGTCGATATCATCGCCACTGTCGGTACTGCCGCCAGTTTCAATAAGAGACGATATCGAAAGAGTTCCGGCAAGAATTCGTTTGAAAACCCCTAAATTAACCCCTGATCTGTGTGCACTACTTTTCAAGAGACTCAGACTTTTTTAATTAACAACTACAATTATTTCATAATTTTGAGAAAACAGGAACATGATACTTTAATTTGTTACAAATTTTCGCATTACAAAAAATGGATGGTAAAAACGTTGAGATTTGGAAGCATAAATATTGAAACCAGATTTAAAATACTAATGATTTCTTTACATACCTTTGAAGACATGCATCAGATTCCTTTCAGTCAGTTTTGCTTCCAAAGCTCTATAAAGCTGATAAACAATTCTGACATCTTCCACCATACTATTGTGAAGTTTTTCCAATAGGTAGTACTTGGCCTTGGGGCAAAAACCGAGAGTGAAAAACGGAAAACATTACACAACAGTGATGAAACTAGGCAAACAAAAAATAGTAAACGAAAAATTCAAATTCAGGATTTTTGTTTGCACCTAGACAAGATATTTAACAGACTCAAGATACGAGCAAAAAGATAAGTACCGGAAACAATTTGGTACATATCTGCTTTAATTTAATTTTTGATGGGAAAACCAACAAATACATATTATCATTCAAAATGTTGGACTTTCTTCAAAATTCTATTTTATTATTAATTGTGTGTCACAATTAACTGTGTGTCCAACACAAAATGAGAGCAATTTCACAAGAATATTTTTTCTTTCCTTTTCAAAGAGCACTAAAGTTAAAATAGTTAGCAGATTTAAACACTGTATGTTTTTCTGTTCTTCAGCAATCTAAAAGTAATTAGCAATCTAGAAGTTCCAACTCTATTAGAAATCGGGGAAAGATAGGAAAATGGCACTCACCAAAAATTCAAATGAATAGTCGCCTGAATGTGGCTCCAGCAACCAGTGAGCCACTGCCATATCTAGGAAACTGCAGTTCCAAGCAAGATGAAAAAACCTGTTGATAATCTTGTAAATGTACTTGGCATTAACAGTGATGATCGTACAGGCCGAGCAGGAAAATATTTCTTTCAAGATCTCGATCCCACATTCGTCTATAAAACAAAACGAACATAACTGGATCACGGGAGAACAAGGTAAGAGTTAGAACACCTAAGAACATGTTAATTCGTTAAAATTCCACACAGAACATAGCAAATATATATAAGTTTCCATCATTAACTCATAAACTGGAAATATCAATTTGCCTCAGTAGTTTTCCTGTCAAGAGAAAAAAAAAATGACCCTAGATCAAAAAGACAATTTATAAGAAACTTAAATATTTGAGAAAATAACAAAGCAGGTTTATTCTATTCCTGTTCCGTCCTTGGGAAAAACCCTTTCACAAAAACGCACAATACATAATATTTAGTTCCATTTCAATATGTACATAATAATTAGGTTTATAAGGACTTATGAAAGTTGCACTTGATTCATGTTTCTATGATTTGGACTGAATTCACTATTTTGTCATTTTGACAACCATAAACTTACTTCAAGCTTTTTAGGTAAAATTTTATTTATCAGCAAATATTACTGATGCATGAGTTTCAGGCGTTTTTATTTAAAAAAATTTGAAGTAACTGATTTCGCCCCATGAATTACTGATTTTGAATAATACTGGTATGAAAACAATTAAGTGGGCACTAGTTTAATTTAAGGCTTGAGAAATTACAGGGTCAAAAATTATAATCACCGTTTGCATTCAAATCCAGATAGTAGATATCTTCTGCATCTGCTGTGAAAGTGAGGATGAGCGATGCGCCATTGAACTTGTTAATTTTACTACCAGCAGAGTTTACACTTGATCTAGTGCTTTTTTTGATAAATTTTCGGCCGATGTTACTTTCCTTGGCGACTCCTTTTACGTACTTCATGCAGAGACACAGACTAGATTTTTGGCGGAGCAGTCTTTCGAAATGGGCTCGGTTCAGTTTGTTGTTTTTACACAAATGATAGACTGCTGCATTGTCTTTCTGCATTACTTTTTTTTTGACCGGGAGTTTCTGGGCTGCCCTGGAACCAAGAAAGAGCTAATACATGTGCTGAACAAAAAAGGATTGAACGTTGAGGCATTTATCAATCAAAGGGCGCAAAGGAGCAAACCGAGTTTACCGTTTTACACAGATGCCCTCAAAAATTTGAAGTGTTTTTATTTGTCAAAACTGGATGCATTTTCTCTAGAATAAGGAGTAAAATGGAAAACAAATTTCAAATATTATACGAAGGTGATTAATACATTAAGAAATTATCATTAGTTTAAAGCATTAAATTTTTGTTTTATTTAGAATCTTTCTGGTAGTAAAAATTTAATTTCAGTTCAGTATCACCCTTTACAGTTACAGGCAGATACAGATGTAATTATGCTAAATGGAACTATGTGATTCGGGTTGGCCAACAACATAGTCTCTTTCAGCATAAATATGTCTATTTAATAGTCTGAGATGCTAGAAGCCTCTAAAGACTCAGATATTTTAAGGACTAACAGCTCTCTAACATTTTAAATGAGAATACGGAGTAATAAAAGAAATAGTGTATTTCTGTAGGAAATATATACTGCGTATATATTCACACTTTCACTTTCTTCAGAATAGAATCACTTTCACTTTTTCCAGAATATATTTTCCTTTTAAAAATTTGATTAATGTATAATTAGCTCTCTGACTTCAAGTAAGAAAGATTTTTTTCTTCCCCCAGAATTATATAGAATACAATACGGCGTTATTGCGTTCCAACTTTAAATCTACTAAAAAACTAAGGAAAGTTATGAAATAAATACATACGGACCAGGTTTCCTGCCGAAGCTGAATCTTGAGCCTCTGGTTGGCTTATTAGTATTAACTTCTTGAGAATTCCCTACAATATCATCTCCGTTATCACTTCCTTTGCTTTTCCTGATGGAACTTCGAGTTTTTGCTCCAATTTTTTTCGCATTGGCAACCAAACTTGGTGCACCAGTGGGCTTTTGGTATGATGAATTTCTTGAGCTTCGTCTTAATTTTGGATGATTCTTGATCAAAGAAAACTCCTGTGTGTCCGACAAGAAAACATCATCCAAAAGTTTATCAGGTGTGGCAGTTTTGCATGGCCTCGATTGGGTAAGTTTGGCCCCGAGTTTTTGCGAAAGCCGCGTTTGTCGACGGAATTTCTGGGAAACAGGGATCTTGGTTGCCAGCTCATGACTCTTTTTTCTCATTTTTCTGGTCGCGACACCATCTAATTCCTGGCAAAGCTGCGTGTCCAGATTCAGAGTCTGAGCAAACATAGAATTCTCAGGACTGATACTCTTCTGATTGGCGTTGGTATTACTGTTCAAACTTGCATTTGCCGAGTTGATTTGTCCAGAGAAGCTAGCCTCAAACAGATCTGGAGATGAAACTTTATCAGCAACAGAAGCAGATTCTTTCAAATTAGTATCAAGCTTAGGTTTGACTAATCGCGTACTCATACTTTTCCGTTTCCTTTTCTTTCCAGACATTCTTGCTTCTGCTTTCAGTTCTTTAAGCGTCTCCTCGTAAATTAACAAGGAGGACTCTAAAATACTGTCTCCTCCGCTGTCGGAGTTGAACATTTCAATTGATAATCTTTTAGCAGGATTGACTGAATAATTGACATCTGAAAATGGGAGGTTTTGAAACATATCTGCGCTTTTTCTAATGGAGTTAATGTTCTCTGTTATCTCAAGATGCAGTGAGTTTTTAATTTGTTTTTGTTTAGGCTGCACTAAACTGTTTAGTTTTTTTTTTGAGAGCAATAAGGTATCTATCAAGCTGGGAGAGTCGATTTGTGTAGGGTTTGCTGTCAGTATTGAAGCTTCCATGCATCCCGAACTATTTAATATTTTTGGCTTGATAATCGATACTTTGGAGGACCATTTCCTTTCGTCAACCGATGTTTCGAAGAAACTAGGTGAATCTAAACTCTGGGATTTTTTGGGATTTATTAACGATGTTTCTACTATGCTAGAAGAATTTAAACTCTCCGCTTTATTCTCGCTGCAGCCTGACAGTTCCAAATCAAAAGGTGAACTGATGAAATTTTGCGAGGGCACCTTTCCTACAGATTTTGGCCTTAATTCGTTTGTGCTGATCATTTGAAAAACAGAATCGTCTACTTGCATGCAATCAAAAATATCGTAACTTTCCCTCTTTCTTTCTCCAATATCACAGTTTAGATTGATGCTGACAGAACTGGGTATTTGTTCTGAATCGAAAACTTCAGTTTCTTCAATTACTGCTTTCATATTAGATGAATTTTTTATAGACTTACAGGTCGACTGGGTTTCTTCCACCACTTCAAAATTTTGAGACGGTGAAGTCTGACTTACACTTAATTTTTTGGTACATTTCAGGATTTCCTGAGAAGCAATCATGCTAGAATTATCATGCGATGACTTAAAACTACTATTAAAATTATTTGACTGATTTTCCTTAGATTCTCCGTTGCTTTCATGATTGGAAAGTGTATCACAGCTGTCTTGACTAGACTTAAGAAATAATTTCATTTTATTTGATTCAATGTTGGAGCTGCAGTCTGATTCCGTTGAAACTGATGTTCCCATCCCATGATCACATGCAGTTTCATTAACTCTTGTGCTTCCAAACGTTTGACTTGGGGATAAATTTTTATTTGTTGGGTGAGAGGGTGTGCTGGTCTTAGAAATTGTATCACTGTTTGAAGACTCTGGAATGTTAGCTGCTTCATCGCTCTGACTTCTGTCAGAACCCCACTCCACTTTTTTTAATCCTAGTTCATGCTGGAAAAAATAATGACAGAAAGAGTCATGGGTCAAAAATTTAAAATGCCTAAAGCAATGGGGAAATACTTTATGTTGCTTCGTAGGGCTGTGCGAATAGTGAATTTTCCGAACGAAGCGAATGGCGAATAATTTTGGCAACTTTTCGCAAATAGCGAATAATTTAAGTCAATTATTCACAGCTACAAATAGTAAAACGAATAATTTGAAATGACTTTTTTAAGTCTGAAAATTCGCGAATATTACAAAAGTCGACTAAAAAAATGTGATAAATTTTTTTAAGAATTTTCTATTTGCTCATACACCTGCACAGAAAACAACAATGGTAGCCTAGGCTGTTTAGAATGTGTTTGAAGATCCCTGGTTGCTGGCTTGACTGTCCCTGCCCTGCAGGTACGTATGCATTCCCGGGATTTGAAGTTAACTGCGCGGGCAGTCAAGCTAGTATCGAAGGATCACCAGACACATTTTAGTATTTTATTTTTTTCAGTGTAAATGAAAATGTATTTATGAACTTTGTTTTTCTATTTCAAACATATCTGTGTCTTTCAATCCTTAATTTGGGCTCTTTGCTTATCCCCCCAATCGCAATCGCGCTCGCTGTTCGTAAACTCGGCAAAGTCGGTAAAGATCAAAGAAGATCTGTCGTACGCGATGTCTAGGGTGGAAGCGGAAGCCTTGTGCAGGTTCTCACAACGTTTCACGATTGCCACTCGGAAATTCGTTATTTTTGATGGCGCGAATATCTGAAAATTCGTTCTTCGTGACGGCGCGAATATTTGAAAATGTCAGTTCAAAAATTCACTATTCGCAACGGCGCGATTATTCGCAATTTGCGAATAGTGCGCGAGACAGATGAAGCGAATATTCGCGGCGCGAATAGTCGGAATTGCGAATATTCGCACAGCCCTATTGCTTCGATAAATTAAAAAATTGAGTGCATCCTCAAAGTCTGCGTTCCTGAAAGTTTTAATTCATAGGAGGAGAAAATTGAGACACTTGCAAATACTCTACTATTTTGCATTATTGAACCAAATAAATTTCTCAGTTACCAATTAAAAAAGAAAAATAGAATAAATAAAGTTTAAAAAAGAAACTTGTAGATTCTTCGGTTTTAAAGAACAAATGTTTTATCTGTGTTTTTGCCTCTATCTATTCTGTTCTGATATACACTTGAAAATGCTAAGTTCTGAGGCTGAAATTTCAATACGCCTAAAAGATAGGGATTCCAATTGATATGAGGAGCTCTCAAGTAGAATCCCAAATGAGGAAAATTTGAAGAAGCATTTTAAAATTTTGGCTTGAATTTCACTAAAACATTAAACTCATGAGTCACTTTGAATATTCTCTAGATTATTGTAAAATTTTATAAAAATGTTTCCTCAATAGAATAGCATTGGCTTTAAAAATCATAATTTAATGTGCCAAAAACGTTTGCATACTTTTCTGAGGAAAACTTTTGTACATTACCTTCAAAATTTCTCTTGCTTCCGAGATAGCTAGAGCAGCAGCTTCTCTCTCAGTTAAGCCTGATCGGCCGGCAACCCAGATTCGGCGGCACTGATTTTTCAGGTCTTCTTTATCACTGTAAATATGACAAAACACTCAAAAGGTGACTATACTCCTTCATTTGCAACACATAAAGTCATGAAACTTCTAGGCTAGTAGATCAAACAGATTTTTAATCAGAGCAGAATTATATTTTTCAAATAATCACTTGATGGCGCGCCTTTAAGACAAAAACTACTTCTGGACTTTTCTCTGACACTGTTACAGTTTATTTGTGATAAGTTTAGTGTTTAGCAAATTTTACGAGCTATGCTGATGACTGAAGAAATCAAAAGAAATGAACGAACAAAAATAAAACGAGGGCAAGTAACTACCTCTCAAAAGGGATGGCTTTTCGTAGTGCTTTTTCAACCTGATCTTCTTCAGCAGCTGCCAGATCAGTGAGCGTCTCTATTCCACAATTGAAAAGGGCACGTGCTCGAGATGCATCCAGAGATTGGCATCGCAGTAGATCAATCAGTTCTCGATGAACACCGAACTGAAGACGATCACAAAACTGCGACACGAGAAGTTCAATCGTTGCCCAGCCTAATCTTCGACAAAACTGAGTGACGAGACCTAAATGAAGACAAAAGCAAAATTTAGCAAAAGTGAAATTGCAGCCGTTTTACCTTACTGCCTCTAACTTGTCTTAACTTAAGTTGTCTTAATTTAAAATACTTATCAGAGTAAAAAGATGGGTAAAAAGGCAGAGAAAAATATGCCTGACAATTTAAAATGCACCTCTTTGATCATACAAATTAATTATTTATTGACTAATTTGAAAAACTCACATGCACAGGATGGGTATCTTCAAGGATGAACCAAAGTGTAGGCTGTGTGAGGTAGAAGAGGAAACTGCGGAGCATATCATCTTCGACTGTGAAGCTCTGGAAAAGAAAAGACAGGACATCCGAGGAGATAACTCCTGGGATGACTGTCTAGCACCTGAGTTAGTTGCGGGCACTCTCCTCCAACTTGTTGAAGGGGAGGGCTTCTGGGACTAACCAGGAACCAACAACTGGGCACAATAGATCGAGAGGTCGCAGTGCATGGGGCAACCCACCAGAAAAAGGAAAAAAAAAAAAAAAAATTTGAAAAACTAGGTAAAAAAAAGTCTCACCTGCAAATGCTGAGGCAGACTGCTGCAATGATTGAATCATCCCTTTAGATGCTTGATATTTGGAGGCCACTTGACTCAGAGGCATTTCATTCACCAGATCTTGTAAGGCTAGGGCAGTGTAAAATCTACGCAGTATTGTCATTTTCTCTAGCTAGAAACAAAAACAAACAAAAAATGTACATCAAATGTCAATCATCCAAAAGAGCAAGGAAATACTTTTTCTTTGCAATAGAGAGGTTTTCGTTTCCAAAACTGACATCCTTTTCCGACTGATCCTGTCTGTGGAGATTATTAACAACGATATAAGAGATTGCGAAGGTGACCTTCTATAAAAGAAGGTTGGATAAATTATCGTCAAGTTTTCTTCTGTACCTAACATTTTACTCAAAATATGCACCCAAGGCATATTTAGAAAAAAGAAAGAAAAATCCTTCATCTCGTTGTATCTTTTTTCATTCTTTTGATCATTTCAATAATTCAGAGTAAAAAATTTGCTATATTTGCTAAAATTGCTAATAAAAAATTTGCTATATATATTGCACTATTTACATTTCCTTTTTTCTTGTCATTTTGACTCAAATAAATGCGGAGAAACTCAGTCCTCCTGATTAAAGTGAAGAAAAATCCAACTTTTTTTGGACATTTGACTAAATGAGTGAAATAGCAGATAGGAAATATCGATGCTGAAACTGCAGAAATGCATATTGGGGGTTGCATTGCGGGTTTGCAGACTCTTTGTTATACCTCATTTTCTACCTAGAACTCTATAGAACGTTAATTTTTGAAAACTTTGGTTATTTTCATTCCCTGTATGAAGAATAGTTTGTGAAAATTTCAAGCCATAATGTTGACTCAGTCTCCTTTGAGAAGAAAAAAAAAATTAAAGCGGAGATTTTGAAACATTGCAAGCGAGATACGTCTTTTAGAAATTTCACCATTGATATGCTCTTGACATAAACAGACATTGTGAGGGGCGTATGGAATTTGCACTTCGATTTTACAGGCGGCAAAATAAAGAGAAAAATTAAGCAGTTCACCAAGAGACTCAAACAATGTGATTTTCACATTCTCATTTTTGCTCTTGGAATTGAGAGCATAAAATTCCCGCCAGATTAATTTTTTTAGAGAACAAGAGGAGAATTTTGACATTGTAGTCTTACAAACGGTTAAGAAGTTTGGCAGCAGCAGGAACAGACAAAGGGGATGCTAAGAGCGACGGAGTTGAATTTCTGGAGGAGGTAGGCAAGAATTTCTAGAAGAGATCAGGTCCAAAAAGCAAGAGTGCGTCAGATCACGAGAGTCAAAAATGACATTGTATTCGACGTCATGACCAAACAGCTTGAAGGGCTTTGGAAGGATGGGGGACTTCGGCGGCTAGGTGTCACAGAGCACCAGAGAGTGCTATAAAAGCGGATACATTAATTTTTTTTCCCCCCAACAATTATAACATGAGAAAGAGCAACTTACATGTGCAGTGGATTTGTAGTTAACGGTTCCCCGTACAGCTCGCACTAAGAATCGTTCATCAACTCCAACCATCTCTCCCACTTTACGCATACTTGGAGTCAGATTCTCCCACAATGATAGTATGTGGAGCCAGTCGAGCTGGGACCCCCACTGCTCACTAACAGAAAATGGGGTTACCTGAATAAAAAATAGAGACACATTCAGTACGCCCTAATTACTTCTCAACAGGAGTATTAGACATTTTAAGCTACCGATAACAAGTTAACTGACAAGAGGTATGACTTTCAAGAAAATTCTGGAATTTCAAGAAAGATTTTCATTTTTGAATTAAAACGAGAGAAAGTTTCATTTGAGAGGAGTCATTAGGAAGTTTTTTTATTTCCAGTTTCTTAAGTAATAAAAAAAAATTATTCATTTATTTTATGTGGGGAGAAAAAAACTTAAAAATTCTGCAAGAATGTGACTAGTCACTGACTAATTTTTGCAGTAAATAACTATTGTACACATCAAATCTCTTTCTTGAAGAATATTTCTCTGATGAGCTCTTTCCCTCTCAAAAGAGAATTTTAGTTTTATACCGAATTTTAAAGCGCACTGGCAAAATTATCAATATTCTGTCTGAAAAATTCAGTCTAGACTTCTTCTTCAAGCTAGATTGATCTGGAAATAGCTTAGAGTTACATTTGTAATAATAAAGTAAGCAGATAACCTCTAGAGAAGCGTTCTAAGTGGAAAAGCATGAGAAAGGACTTTACCTGGTAAATGACATGTAATTCGGTGTCCAGGACAAAACATTGTCGTGCTCTATGTAGCTCTTTCAAGAGTTTGATACCTTGATCAGGTGGCAGGGACGCTGAGAGGCACGCATTGGCTAAAAGTGTTGGCGTTAAGCTTTCTTCGGCTGACTTGATGAACTCATTGGTTTCTAGATACTGCAAGGAAGATGTGATTGGATCCAATAAACCTGGAATAAAAATAAGCTATCAATGAGCCTTTGAACTGGGAGAGAATTTTGACAAAAAACTGAATAAGAGAGGTGCTGGAACATTCTAGTGTGCGCTTTAAAGATACGGGAGCTGTGCACACCAAATATATTTGAGAATCACTGGAAACTTTGATTCTTTGTATTGTGCTGTGACGAATATCAAGAAAAAGAGAGATCAATAATTGTGCCTTACATATCAGTTCAACATTGAAAAATCTTTCAGTTCTCATATAAATCTCTCTTATTTGTTCTAAAGTAAAATTGTTTGCTCACATTTGGACCGAGTTTATTAGAAAGGAATCAACCCACATCAAGTTGAAACTGAGAAGAAGAGGTTTGAAGTTTTATTCCTTCATAAGACTCAATGTAGAATGCAATGACTTCAACCTGTCTTTTCACAAACTAATATATGTATTTTCAACTTAGAATTTTTGACAGGAGGAAAAATACAACTAAAGAAACTCAAAAACATTCTTCGAAAATGTGGGTTGGTTCCTTCCTGATGAACTCAGTCCATTTCATCTGACAAATAAATACAAATTGGGAGAGAAGTTAATGAACAGATTGTGCAATTCTGGAGAGAAAATAGAAATTTGAAGTTACAGAGAAACATACGGAAAACGGGGGAGGGGGTGTGGTGCACACAAAAAACAGTGCTGAATGTGGAGCCTACAGGAAAACTAGCAGGGCTGAGCTCCAATGGGCCTGTTGCAAACTTTTGCTAGAGCAAAAATAAAAGTTGTTTCCTATAGATAATGCCTTAAAAATCATGATGAGCGCATCCACAAACTCTGAAATGCACTCATAACTTCACAATCTGCGTAAGAAATTTGCGGTTTTTTAAGCTTCCCGCTTCAAAAACGATATTACGGCACAGGTGAACCTTTTGTTAGAGGAGTCGTTCCATCGTCGGCAATATTCATCATGGCCGACGCCAATTCGCCAAAACACGTGTGATGGGATGAGATAACACCTGAACAGGATTAGACTAGATAACAATCGGCGTGTTTACGTTCATATTTTCCTCGCCCTCCTTGATTGACCTTGAACTCTCCTTGAATTACGCGCGGAACTACGGAAGCATCGGCCATGATGAATATTGCCGACGATGGAACGACTCCACTTACAAAATGTTTACCTGTGCCGCAGTATCGTTTTTAAAGCGGGAAGCTCAAAAAACCGCAAATTTCTTAAGCAGATTGAGAAGTTATGAGTGCATTTTAGACTTTGCCAATGCGCTCATTGTGATTTTTGAGTCATTATCTATAAGAAACAACTCTTAGTTTTGCTCTAGCAAAAGTTTGCAACAGGCCCATTATACTTAAACACTCTGTCCCTGAATCTAGCACTGCTATAGGAAATTTGAAAATAAGGCGCGAAATTTACCAAAAACAAAAAAGTTCTAAAATTGGCTGGTAACACCTATTCACCTCAATCTGCAAATTGTCAAGGGAATGCATTCGTTCAGGGGCCTAAAATTTTGGCAGTGTTCTGACAATAGTTTTCCATGGAAAATTTCATGAAGACTAAAAAGTTCATTGAAAAGTCTAAAAAAGCTCTTCTATGGGGAGAAAAAGTTGATTACAATCTGACTAACCAGAGACCAACACTCGTGACGAGGCAACTAGGCCGTGACTTCAGCAAATCAGTGAATATGGATTCCCTCACCTGTTTACATCACAAATATCATTCCAAAAAGGTCCAGATTTCAGAGACTCCAAAATCGATTTTTGTCATTTCATCGAACACATTCCGAAAAAATCACCGGGAGCTTAATATAATCGGTATGTTACGAAAATGAGTAAAAAAATTGGGTGGTTCTGACCCATTGCACAAAATTGGGCAGAACTAAGATTAGTTTAAAATCTGTCTAGTTATACTTAGTTTTAAAAAGAACTTACTTTCATTACTGAATCCATTGTCTAACGAAGCAGCAAGTAATGTGCAAGAAGCATAGAGTTTAGCTTCTGCTGTGCTACAAACAACACCACTTGCTATCACCTATAAAAATTAATCAACAGATTAAATGGTGGAACAAAAATCATTACGATTGACTTTGGAGAGACAAAAAAACAGGAACAACCTGGTGGTCAGTGTTTGAAGAAGTTCCTATCCTACATCTGGAAAAACAAAATCAGAGGTACAAGTAGACTACATTATCAATAAGGATTTACTATTTATGAATTATTTTAGAAACAACATATGCGCCAATGGTTTTCCCATCTGGAAAGGAGTTTTTGCAAATGAGCTGAAAATACTAGTTTCTTATGATGAAATAGAGTCCAATTAAGGCTATACAAATTTATGCGGGTCAATTGGGCTTGGTTACAGAATCGTATTTGGGTGGTTTAAATTTAAAGATTAGCAAAAAAGTATTAAGATTTGTCCAAACGCGAAGTTTCTACTTCCAATTTTGATGGAATATTGTCCTGCAAAAAACACAGTGTACAGCATCATCTACCGCAGTGGTACATCCCACCGTTTTTTCTACTTTAGATTTATCAATTGGTGATTCACTGATTTGAACTGATTGTTTGACAAAAACACGGTTGAAAGCGAGGTGGAAGATACCATGGTATGTACAACCACAGTAGATGATGTCATGCACCATGTTTATCGACAGCCAATATCTCATTTGAAATTGAACAAAGAAATTTGGAATTTGGTCAAAAGTTATTATTTTTTCCCGATCTGTAGGCATGAACCATTAAAACACAAATCTGTGAATATTACAACTGACCCATTCATAATGACAAAACAGGATTTTTGAAAAACTTGTAAAGACTCTTCAACAAACAAAATTTACTGCTTATCCTGCCTCATATTTTGACCATGCATTTACCTTAAGTACAGAAAAAGAATGATCAAGGAGGCTGAAAATAATAATATTTGAACAGTGGTGAATAGGAACACAAACCTCTAAAATGGCTCGTTTCAAAGAGTTGGAGATATCTGTACGCCCAAGGCAACTAGTGACAGGAGGCAAGGATGACTTGACTAATTTCTCTCCAATTTTTCTCTCAGCCTTGGTACAAATCAAAAAGCTCTCGCCTAAATAGGAAAGAGAAAATAAATTTAGCAAGTCCAACAATTCAAAAATAAAAAAACAGGATAAATGGTGAGTGATTAAAAAATCTGTAGAAATGCAATGTAGCAAAGAGAAAAGGTAGTCAAAGTCAGACTTGCCATTACAATTCTTCATATTTTCTGATAAGCTTAAGAAGAATTCCTCAAAAAGTAATTTTAGGTATTTAAAGGTTTGTCAAAAAATGATGTAAAGCCTTTGCGCATAACTTACTTATACGATGATATAAATTCTTTATGCATTAATTCCTTTTAGACTTTCAACTGTTTTTGGGAAAAAGTTCAAATTTCTCAAGTTTTTTCTGATCCTTTTACAATTCCATGATTATTACTGATTGTGGCAAGCCTGTGAGGTACAGTCAGATGTATTTGAAGATGCTGGTGCAAGAAAGGGTCAACTATCATGTTTCTTCGATTGAAAAGATGAAACTTTAATTACCACAAAATTACATACAAGAACTATGATTTCACTAACAAGGGGAACTTCCCAATCTGCCGCCTCCGATCAGGCTGAAAAAATTTGTATCAACTCTTTGGATGAATCCATTAGGACCATATTCTTCTGTTTTTTCCAATGCGCCTTGGAAATACCCCCAGAAAATTCCGAAAAGTTCCGTTTTGAGCGCGCGCATACAGTGAGCATAGGACCCCCAGTATGCACTAGGAGAGCTGTGCGAGGCGAAGGAGCGCTCAAAACGGAACTTTTTGGACTTTTTTGGGGGTATTTCCAGGGCACAATGGAAAAAACAAAAAAACACAGTCCTAATGGATTCATCCAAAGAGTTCATACGAATTTTTTCAGCCCGATCAGAAGCTCGGAAAGTTCCCCTTGTAGGTACAAGTATGTGACAAAATTTTGCATTGAAATCGTAGAGATTTTTCAAAATTAATGCTCTTTTCACTCCCTCTTTGACATCTCATGAACTCATATTTTAAAATTTTGTCAGTTAACTCCTTCTGAACTGGAAGTTACCATTGAACAAAAAATATAGAAATAAGATTTGAGGTACCTTGAGAATCCACACCCATACGCCCTGCTCTCCCGACCATTTGCTTGTATGAAAGAATATCAATTGGCTGGTTACGAAATGATGGTGAACGAATAATCACCCTTCGTGCTGGCAAATTAACGCCTGAAGATAGTGTAGATGTAGCAACAAGCACTTTTAAAGTACCACTGCGGAAGTTCCCTTCTATGATGTTCCTTTCTTCAAGTGTCAAACCTGGAAGAGGACACAATTATAGAAAAAACTGTGTGAACAGATGACTGATGCAAACTTTCATCTTTCCTATTCTCGACCACATTCATACAATTCGTTCATACCTTTTTCATTTTTCATCTGGGATGAATTCACATTACTGGCTAGAGAATGATTGACTTGAAACAGAAGTAAAATAAAAGACAATGAATGGACCAGGGACGATGTGTGAATTAAGCTTCTAAAGGACATATTTCCGCATCAAAATTTAATTTAAAACACATTGAGCAAAAGGGCTTTTCTTAATCCATGAAACGCAATAGATTGAGTTATTTGCACCTCAAAATGGTCCTGCTTGAAATTAGAATTACATGTAACTGTTTGAAAATCACCTTGGAAGCATGGCTGGAACGCAACAGTGGACCAGGATAAAAAAGGAACATTGCAAGTCTGCGGGTCAGATAAAAGAAAAGCCCTTTGTTGAAAACTTCCAAAATCAACTCATGAGTGAGACATTAATATTTGTGGCTCACATTATGAATGCTAAATTCAAACTTCTTGCCCATGAAAAAATGTTAATTAATGTGGATCAAAATAACCATTGAAAACAATCCATACAATGGACAAATAACTGGATTTTGGTTTTGCATCAATTCCATTGCTCCTTCGATACATGGCACTTGGAATCAGGTCAAAAAACAAAAGTCACCACACAGAAAAATTCTTCGAGCATAAAACTTCTATCAAAAGTAGTTTGGTACTATGTTTGAAAAGAGTGGACTAAGGTTTTTAAGGAGCTGGAAGTGTGAACTGACATAAACAAAAAAAAAACACTCTTTTCGTAGCTTCAGTTTTGAGATGGATTGAGAAAGTTTGAGTGCATCCCGTATCTTATGTAACATTTTTAGAAGGAAACACATATTTTGGTTGTTAATTTTGTGCCCTGTTCAGTGGTCTATTGTATTAGAATGAAAGAGTAGCTAACGAGTGAGTGACTGATCAAAATATTGAAGTACCTGCATGATGAAAAGAAACACCAAATGAGACGCACTTTTCCAAAGTTTTATCCAGGCCAGCAGGACAGATTTTCAGCTGCTCAAGCATTTCCATTATGGCCTCTCGACTTAATCTTTCCCTCAGATGTGGCGCTATTTCTGTTGAACCACTACCTGAAAATTAGCAATGAATGTTCATCATTGAGTTGTAGAAAAACTGTCCATACCCTTATCCAGATCATACAAATAGAGAGAAAGAGGGGTGGAAACTTTAACTGTTTCCTTAGATCATCAATTTTTGGAATCAAAAGTTAATGGAGGAATTTCTGAAAAAGTTTTTTGCTTGGATGTTCTGAGATAGTCAGATATTTGAATTAATTTTCAAGTTGATGGAAACAGTGCACACAAAATTATCTCAACTAAGACTCAACAGTCTTCCAGAAAGTTAACCTGAATACCTCCTTTCATTGTTCTTCTCTTCCATTTTCCAATGCGTACTACCCTCTTTTCCAAGCTTTTGTCTTTTTACTACGTCTTCCGGGAACTTATCCCCTTTAAAAGTTAGTTAGTTATAGACATAGTTATTTTACTTAAAAATTCTCCTGCACTGGCTAATAATGTCTTCACAGTATTTTAAATTATAAGTTTCAATTGCAAAGAATATTAATATATATAATGTCAATGAACTTAGCAAGGCTTAGAATTTCAAGTTTTACATTTAAAGCCAGCTAAATGCTGTACATATATTCGTATATATTAAAAGTTCCAGCAACATTAAAAGTTTTTAAGGCATTTACATTGATTTTCCTACAATATTAAAGACAGTTAAGCCTCGCTAAGATGGTACCCGTACAAGCCAGAAACCAGCCTGAGTCGGCATAATCGCCCGGTTCCGTTTTCCGTCTATATACCAGAATGCTAAAAGAGTCTTCTCCCATTTTTGCAAAGCCCACCTTTTTTTTTTTCCAATTTGTTCATATTATTATTTTCTTTGCTTTCCCTTTGCCATCGTTTGCAGTGATGCGAATGAGGCGAGAGCGCGACCCTCCTTGCTTACTGAGTGACTGTTGACTGTTGTGCGCAAGTCTTCCCCTCCCTATCGCATGTCTCCCACTCTATTCGCTCTCCCCCTACAAAGCACCCACTGCTCACACCATTTTGCCCGCACGCGACCGCCGTTCGCTGAGCGGTGTCATGTGTAGCGTCATCTATGCACGGCCCGAGTAGCAAGAAGGTAAGTTGGCGACCCGTCGATGCCGTCCGACTTGTGAATTTGCATACAGATGCTCTTAATGAAAATGTAGCGCCCTTGATCAATTGCAGTTGATTATGTACTGCCTAAAATAACCCTTAAATCTACCAGTACATTACGTTTTAGCATTCAAAAGCATTTGTTAAAATTTGGGCGCGAAGTTTGAATAAGGGAATAGGAAAAATATGGAGCCCATTAAAGTCGGCAACCAGCTTAAGTCGGTAATGTCCCAACATCCCGATCGAAAACGTCTTAGCGAGGTTTCACTGTACATATTCAAATCCAATATTCCTGAAGACCAGAAATTTAGAATATGGGAAACGGATCATGACTTCTGCTGTTTCACTTTGATTCAACACAAAATACAATTTTTATCTTTTATAGAAGGATGAATTTTCCTCAATAAACCACATCATTTTCGAGAAAATTGGTAACAAAAATGTCTGTACTCACTTACATCATTGACTTCTCCCCGATATGCTTAAATAAAATGCAAACACCTCTTTTTTATGACTCAATCTAAAGCACAGTGAATTGAAATGATGAAGACATTGAAACCAAAATGGGTTAATGTGTAAATAACAACATACCTATTCTCATAAATTCTGCAGAAATTTGTGATGCTAAAGTTTCACACCAGTTTTTGGTTTGGCAGAAAATTAAAATAGAATGTCCGGAGAGAATTGTTTCCAGACACAGCCATATCACATCTCCTGAATCATTCTAATAGTGTAAAATGTTAGTATATTGACAGGCTTTTAAAAAAATACACACATTTTATTTTAGATGAGATTTGTTTGCTGATTAGACTTTTCTTTGTAAATTTGTCACGACAATATTGAAACAACTTTTTCGTTCAACTTTCATTTGACGTACAGAAAATCTAAGCTACAGGTTTTAATAAAGTTTCATTTGTCCATGCTGATTAAAATAATATACATGCAATTATACCTGTACAAAACAAATGCACGAACTCAGAAAACCTCTAGATTAATTTTAAATCATACTTGTAAAAAACAGAGAAAACAGGCTGGAGATGAGAAAGTAGGAGACAATTTTTATTTTATGCAAGAGTTCCATTTTAAAGTTGGTTTATTCTATTTTTATTTAAATTTAAAGAAGTTTTAGAAAAAATACAAGGTTTTCAAAAGTAAATTGATAAACGCAAAAAAGGTTCAGTATAGAAATACATAACTAAAACGAAGAATTTTAAATTAACTTAGCTTGACATACCTTGATTTCAATTTGTGGACAAACTTTCCGTACTGTACGGAGATTGTCCGTTGTGATTACATCGGACTCAACTTTCAAATATTCAACTAAAGGAATTGGACGGAAATCTGTCTTGAAAAGTACGGCTGATAACCAATTTGCGAGTAGATTCAAATTTGGAAGAGTAGCTGACATGCCAATCACTTGAACCTGGCAGTCACTCATTCTGCAACAGTTGAAAGTGAAGGAGTGAGATTAGACGCAAAGATTACCGATCAGTGTAATTCTTTTCAAGAGTAAACCTTTCGGAACTTTTGCAAAAAACATTAAAAATATAAAACCAAATTTATCTACGTTATTTACATAGATGGTGGCAACATGGAGACATGTGTTAAATTGCAGAAAGCGAGAGACATACGCTAGTTTAATGATCTTTGAACAGTACTATAAACATAAGGATTACTGGTACCAGATTTTTTTTTGAAAGTAGAAGTTTATTAAAAAAATAAAATGTCAGACATTATTTTCAAAATAATGGATGATGCGGTAAATTTGTATAGGACTATAGTCAGCTTCTGCAATGACAAAACCATTTGCTATGAAATTTCAGTCCAACTTAGATTATCTCGGTTTTTGATGGATCAAAAAACGTGTGGCACCTCTACAAATCCAATACATCAAAAGTCAAGGGACCTTCAAACAAAAGAAGACACTAAACTTCCTAAAGAGGAAAAAAATAACTGGATTTTAAAATTGAAACTACCAAAAATTAAGGTTACATTCCAAGCTTACTTTTGGCTCATGTATTTGAGTTTGGTAAGTAGCAATTCCAATAAGTAGCCTCGGTGCGGATCACCGATAAGATGAAGCTCATCCACGACAACACAGCCAATTTCACTCAGACAGCCCTCTTCGAGTAGCCTGCAAAAATTTTTAAGGGACAATCTTAAAAAGGTCGGTTTTTAGGGTGAATTTATATTATGATTACAGAGACATTAAACACCATTGATTCCTTGCTCATTGAGTGTTTCATTTATCTGGCAAGACAGAGAGGCTGATTTTTTTATTTGTAGAATACATGACTATTTGAAAGACTCATGAGAAAAGTAAATTTCTTTTCTATCATAATGGTTTTAATTGCAATTTTTACTCCTCTTGTAATCTGGCGTATATTTTTGTAACAAATTTCTGGAAAACTGGGACACCTCTGTGCCATGAGGTATTTTATAAATTCAATTCTATTAAAAAATGAGTACGCAAGAAATAACAAATAAGATTTTTATGGCTATGCCTTGCTATTGCCTTAGGCATGTGTTTGATATATCTCATCATGAATACGGCACTAATGTGGCGACTAATGTGCCAAGTTATTGAGTAGAATATATGGATCTAATACTTCTGTAAGGCCCATAAGGAACAAAAGAAAACCTACTGTCTAATTTTCAGATAAAAACTACGATCTTAACAACAATAGAGTTTAAAATGAAGAGGGATCAGCATTCAAGATATACCTGTTGATCAAGCTGTTGGCTTTTTCGATTGTTGCAATAGCTATTTGAACAGATTTTAAACCTCCTGGTGGAGCATGACTACCCATGAAGCCCTCCACTCTGACACCGGTTCCTTTAAATAAATCCTGAAAATAACACAAAGGCAAGAAGGTTAATGGTAATGCTATCATTGTAAGTTATAAAAGCTAAACTTTGGTTGTACATTTTTGTTGCTTACATTTATGGACATTTTTCAAAGAGAATGTAAAAAGTTTGGGGGCTCTAGATTCTTAGACCAAGCTTCCGGCATCAATTGATAATCATATAGACTTCCCACTGACAAACCAAAAACATTAAAGTAGTCATGTTGATTACCCTAGCAATGAGAGACATGTGCATGTATTTTTATCAAACAGACCTATGTGCAGGGGGAAAGATGGGGTGCGCTTGTCAGTGCTCAGCCCATAAGAATTAATGGGGAATATAAGTGACGAAGCCGCCGTCGCGCCTCTCCCACGGTCGCTTGACTCATGAGCCCTCTTCTCAACGCTCTAGATACATGCCCACAGCTCATGCACCGTGCACATAGTTCCTTTTGATAGAACGTGAAATCCCGCTTCTCCAATTCAGCAAACGGAACTGTGAGCCAACTAGGTGCGGTACCCATGAGCCGTGGGCATGTATCTAGAGCAACACGGACGGGGCTCATGAGTTAAGCAGGAAGAGGGAGAGCCGCCACGGCGGCTCCGTCACTGGCGCTTTATATTTCCCATTCATTCTTGTGGCCCGAGCACTAACAAGCGCACCCCATCTTTCCCCCTGCATAAAGTTCTGTTTGATAGAAATACGTCCATGTGTATGTGATCACCAAGCTTATAGAAAACATCAGATGATGAGGAATTTTAGAAAATCAGGGAACACAGGGATGCAGAGAGATCTTGGCCGTCTCCATTTCAAAACCCCTTCTCCCTCAGAAATTTTTAGGTGATAACCTTTTTATGGCTCTAGGCGTAAAAAGTGCTGAAATTTCGTGCAGGAGTGCAGAAAGTTTCTGACCACGCGACCAGCCCAATGGTATAAAATGGGGGAACCTCTGCAAGAGCAAAAAAAAAAGAGGGGAGCCCCAAAGAAAACGGGACGAAATGAGGGCACCCCCAAAGAAACTAAATGGGGGAGCCCTGTGAAAAATATAGCATTTTAACCCTTACCACTCATGTGTCGGATGTGGTCCGACATTTTTATTTTTCCGTTCCGATCATGTGTCGGACCTGATCCGACAAACCTGTTCACATCGCGTAAGCTTATGTGTCAGACGTAGTTTGCCACCTCTGTCTTGTGCAGCGATCTATCGGATGTTTGGAGAAGTACGTCCACAGCTGTCAACAACTGCGTCATCGCGCTGTTTTGCGCTACTTAAATTGCGCCTAATCTCTCTTGTGTTTTCGGTGTTGTCAGCCCTCCAAACTGCCATTTTAAATATGATGTGGGTGAGAGGTTAGGTGAATTTATTTGATGAGCGGTAAGGGTTAACAATAAACATGTCAAATTTTTTGGGTAAAAGATTTATTGTTTATCGTCTGCATGGCGAAGTTATCATGAATTTGGGTTAAAAATGGGGGAAGGTTAATTGAATAAAGAGGAGGGCTTGGAACTTCCTGCACCCCTGATTTTGCAAAAAAACACATGATTTTTACGGCGAGTTTTTTTTTTTTTTTTTTTTTTTTTAAAAAAAGGACACAGCGATTCTGCCGTCCTTCCTGTTTTGCAAAGAATCAATCATGATCTGCCCATTTGTATGGTTAAGAAGTTTTTGACCTCCTGGAAGGACACTTAAAAAAGCCAGGGTTTATCATTTTAAATTCTAAGAATTACTTAGGTTTTAGTTTTTAGTAATTTTCCGATGGTTTCCTATAATTTTTGGTTTTTCTTTAGAGACTGTTTGATAACATTTGGAGGATTCCTCTCAGAATCCCAAGAAAAAATCATCTGCATGACCTCATTCAGTATCCTTGCAGCTTCAAAAGTTTATTTCCTGTAGCACCACTAATACTGAGCATTATGGACACGATTCCCAATTGTTTCACATTTTTTGTCATTTTCATGAAGTTTCTTAACTTTTGGGTTTATGCTCAGGAATTAAATCCTTTAAATTTTCTAAATTTTTCAGTTAGAGGTAACAAAAAGAAAAGAGAGAGAGGAATTATTAAAGAGAGAAAAATAAATCCTGCTCACCTGTAGATGAACCATTTTTTCTCGGACGACTGAAATGAAAGGTAGGATTATTAAGACTTTTTTTTTCCGTTCTAACACAGTTTGAATTGCTATAATCTCAGCTACCATTGTCTTACCTGAAAAAGGGTGTTAAGTCAAATATAAGTAAGGATGGTCGTAGAATGAAGCTGGGTCCTACTTTTTGGCGGGAGAACAAGATCAAAATATTCCAAAAGTTTTCATTAGAATGAGTATCAGTGCAAGACTAAGAAAGAGCGTTCAGCTCGGGCAAGTGCATTGGACTACTAAGCTAGAGTCACATCATGAGACCTATATCGATTTGGTTTTTTTAACATTTCTTCAGTAGATCACAATTGTGAGTAAGCCCATATTAGAATCCCGCAAATTCCTAGACGGCATCAAAACGCTGTCATGGACATGACGCAAGACATGACACTCGAGTGAGATCTTTGTGCCGTGTCATGTCACTGCTGAAGATCTCTCAGGATGAAACAAGGAAAATCAAGAAAGATTGACAACGACACAGATGCAAACATGACAACCAATCTTCATTGTGAGACATTTGCACGCAGAATTTAGCCTGGTAATGAAAGGATTAAACTAAACTGCCAACTTTCTTGACTCAATATCCAAAAATTTGATTGTGATATCTAATGCAAAGGACTAGATATGTCAGCGTGATTGTTGATATTTTGTGTTTGTCTACCGAATAAGAAAAGATAAAACAGATAAAGACAGGAATGGAATTATATGATTCAGCTTTATCAGTTGCCCTCTTTGTTATGCCTTCATCGGGCACAATTATAAAGGTAACAACTATCGGTTGAAGACAAACTATCAGCAAATCAAGAGGTGCCTTCAATTTTTTGTCAACACTAGATGACAGAAAGAACTTTAATTACCAAAAAAATTCGACAATGGTACTACAGAACTGCAGAGATTGAAAAGCAGAGGCATTTTCCCATAGTACTTATTTTGGATAAGTGAAAAAAAAGTTGGGCTCTTGATTGGGGTTAAAAGGCTCTAATTTCATTGAATCTTCTGATAAAGAAGAGAGGGGGAGGAAGGGACCGAAAGAATCTTACCAGCAGATGTGGGGGCTGAGAAGACCAAATTACTACCAGCGAGAACTCCTTCATGCGTCAAACAATCAAATTGCCACTGGAACATGCTCTCCACACCTTGCTTCTTATATTGCTGAAAATACCAATACATAAAAAATGTTATCCGTCAAGTGACTAGCAACAGAGAAAATTTCCATGACCTGCTAAAAACCAAAAAAATTGAGATGATGATGCCATGCTTCAAATGGATTGGTTCTGGTCATTTAAAGTTAAAGGACCTACAAACACTCAAGTTCTACGTTTCTGTAGGTGAGAATTATTTAGTTCTATAGATCTACCAAAAATTAATAATAACTGTTATTAATATATAAAATCTTAAAACTGGAAGGAAGTAATAAAATATAAATAGTGGAATCAGTTTTATCACTTTGGTAAAAAAGTAGAAAGAAAATCACTTAAGTTTACCAAAAATAAAGCAGAAAAAGCCCAGAAAAGACCATTGCGACAATCTTTTCTGACAAACCGTTTTAAATTGATTAATTTACTTTCTTCATTTCTTAAAATAATATGGAGTCATCTATAAAAACGGGAACCTTGGTCTGAGCAGACAAATCTTTCAAGAAAAAAATTCACAACGAGCTAGGGCTGGGCCAAAAAATTGTAATCAAGTTTTCAACTTGGAATACTCAAGCATCTCAAAGAATATTTTTAAAGTAATTAGGTTCATTTTTGTACGAATAAAATTTTAGGTTGCTATGATCAAACAATTTTTAAGCTACAAATAAGAATGGGAAAATTGTTGAAGCTCTGGAAAAAGTTTGGAAGAGTGATAATTTGGCGAAAGAGTAAAAGGGTTCAATAAGGATGAAAAAATATTTGAATATGTTGCAACCCACTTAATTAAGAGATTTCTTGAATTAACATTGATGGGCTAAAAAGTTTTGGTTCTAATTCCGCGTGACTCCTGGATGAGAAGAACAATGTAAAGTTTGTAATTACTCCATACCATTTTGAATTTTCTATTATTATTAACATTTTTTTCTTTGTAGACAGCTTGTTCTTTTTGTTTATTTTGTGATAATTTTACACATTTTGTACTGAAAATATGATGGAGGGAAACTGCCCGACAGTAGCAGGGCATTAGTAAGTGGATGCTGGGATGAAGCTCAAGACACATAAAAGAATGTACTAATCATGACTCATACAGAAATGCACTTACTGCTCGCTTCGCTATCACGACAGCAGCCGGATTGTTGAAACTTTAACTGGCTATGTCCGCACGATAAGACAAGACATAGCCCTATCAGCGCCGTGTACTATATCGATTTTCGATTCTTGTCGTGCCGACATAAATTTCAACAATCAGGCTGTAGATAGCCCCAATGGTTTCCTTATGCCAACAGGAATGCCACATTCAACTGTCAACTGCAGAAGAAAATCAAAAACGAGTATGACCTCTGGGAACCTTCATGCAACCTAGTAACACCCTCAGCAATTTTATAAGAAGACTTTGCATCTATGATACTCAATTAGGCTCAAAAATTTTGCTATTTTGCAGAGGAATTAACTACTTTGCATGAGATTTTGACATTTTTTCTGGCTACTTGTGAGAATTTCAAGATCTTACTCTTTCAATTTCTTTCCTTAAAAAATGGGTTCTTTGTTGCACGAATATTGATTTCAAGGCTGTGCAGGTATCAAAGAAAACTTCCTGAGTCTCTAGAAAAAACTTGGAAATTGTCTGAATCTTTTTGAGAAACTTTGTTACCCCATATACTTTCCCCATAAATTTTCTATCTCCTTGCACATTTGACACACGTATTACATACATTATTGTTACTTATTCACAAGACATGTTACTTTCCAGTCAGGGCACACTTCGTACTTTTTGCGCATTCAACACACTCTGAAATGTTGATTGCTCTAAAACCGTGAAAAATGAGGAAAAATTAAAGGAGAAAATTCTAGGATCCCCCGTGAATTAGTAGGACACATTTTCTTCATCCCTGAAATTAATGGATTAAGACAGTAACATTACCTGAAGAATAGTTTTAGGCAATCCCCAAGATTCAAGCATTAAATTATATCGACTGCTTGAGGACGAAGAGGAAACTGATTCCGACAGATCAGACATCTTTGATTTGAAATCTGAATGCCCACTCTTGATATGCTGTGTGAGTAACTAGACAAAGAAGGACAAGGAAAATAAATTGAAAATGAGGAAGGAAAGGAGAGAATGTTCATCAAAATTCCTGTGGAAGTTTCATAGCTTTTATTCAAGGAGGCAAACATTTTGACAGGAAGCATACTCCATGTGAAATCAATGCCACATCAACTTTCTTGATACAGAGAACTCCAGTGATCCGGCTCCGTTTGGACCAAGCCTAATTTACATTTTAAATTACTAATTGGTTAAACATGCATGATTTACAAGCTCCGCTTCATACATAACTGGGTTTGAGAGATGTGTTCAAATGCATTTTGATGCTTTCATTCCTTTCTTCTTTCATGCTTTCTCCTCAGGCAATTTCTTACTGTCACCAGTTTTTTCAGCCACCAGAAGCCTAGTAGCATAGCTAAATGTAAAAAAAGCTTACCTCAATTCCAACATTTAAAATCTTCGATAATGTTTTATTAATTTCAGGGAGCACGAATCTGAATGTTTTCTGGCAATAATGTGTGAATTAAGTGAGATGAACCAATTCACAGAAAATTTTGACGAAGACCGTTGGTTGGTATTTTTATAAAAAACATAATGTGTGGCGGAAAATTACTGGGACACAATCTGAGTGACATGACTGACATGAACCATTGGCATGCTGATTACGTCAGTGATGCTCAAAGTAAGCATTGCTTTCTTTCTGATCGGTTGTTAACTTCCCACCTTATTTTAGTTACTCATGTTCATTACAAGTATTTATCAAAACTTGTTCACTTCTTGGATTATTGCATGACTGTTGGACACAAATGGCTAATGAATACGCAGAGCAAATTGGAGGTTCAGCGCCAATAGATGGGCTCCACCTTTCGATAGGCTGAGCACCCCTTCATTGGCCTTAGAGCTTGCATCGCTGGCTAGAACGGTTAGGACCTACTAGAATAATAATAACAATAATAATCTTTATTTAGTGATAGATTAGCCAATGGATAGCTATGATACACGTCCATAATTTACATACATTAGGAATGCCTCATGAAGGAGGAGCTGCTTAAGACTCTGTAGAAAAGATGCAAAGTCTACATTTTTGAACAAAAGCCTCAAGTTTAGGGGTAGTGCATCAAAAAACTGAATCAATGAGAATTTTATGTTGGATTCAGTTGAGAGAGATGTTGAGAATGGAATCAACTACACTCCTTACTGGACGAGTCCTATCTCCTATCTGGATCTCGAATTGTCTCGCCCCTGACTAGAGTTGTTGATCTGAGTTATGGAGGCCCAAGATCGGCAAAACTTTGTAATCATAATTTGAAACTTTGAAAGCAAACTATGTAATTTGAACTCAATTGAGAACAGATACAGATTTAACTAGCTGAGAACTGAAGCTTATTTGCTGCAACAATTTCGACTTACAATATTAGTAACAGTTGGGCCACATGGTCGAGGAAGAACTGGAGGAAGGTTGATGAATTTGAAAAACTCAAGACTTGGGAACACTCACGATTATTTCAAAGGATGAAAGTCATGGAGGAGGCGATGAGCATTGGACGAATTAAATTAAAAACATTATCTATTAAAAATGATGGCTAAAACGGAATTATATACAAAAACAAAATTTACAACTAAAGCTGAAGCTAAATTTCCCGGTTAAAACGTGAGAATAACAAAAAACGGAATTTCCGATGACGTAGACCAGCGTAGACTGACGTAGGGAAATTCTACCCAATGAGAGCGAGCAAAGATCAACAAATGACAACCAAAGGTAACTTGGCAACCAGGCGACGAATGTGCAAGAAGAAAAAGGGTAAGAGGACAAAAACAAAAAAAGTCGAAAGCAAAAGTGCGAAAGTGCGAAATTGAAGCTCAATGGCGGAGGAATGTGCTGATAGCTGAAGCCAGTGAATCATCTTTTCTGCAACTGCAACCGTCTGTGAAATAACTACAACGTAATTTAGTTTGAGTGTTTGAGTGACAGTGACTGATTATCTCATAGAGTACAGCAAGCTGGTTTGAGTTTGAGAACTATTATTAAATTAACAATTTTCATTTCACGAAACGGCACCGGCACCGGCCAATGTTTGTGTTGGTGATGTAATGTAAATAACTTGCAGTGATATGATAAGCATCCAGGGAGCAGACTCGATGAATAACAAAGTGATCAACATTGTAAAGATTCTCCCAATATCTTCCCCATCTATGTCAAGTATTATTTAAGGTAATTATTTTTATTAAGAGTTGTTGAAAGTAGAGTTGAAAGGCTATCTAGAATATGACAAAATCCTTAGGCTCAGGCCTCAAATTACGATTTTCAAGTTGGAGAGGCAAAGTTAAAATTTATGCTGAATTCTTCACTTTTCTGAGAGGAAAGTCTTTATTTTCAATGCGCCAACCAACAAAATGTTTGCTAATAACATTCATGGATTTCTGTCAGGTCCTGAAACCCTGGGCAACATTATGAGGAGTCGACCAGCAATTATCTCAAAAATTTCATCATGAGTGCATCAATCAAATTCAGTAGTTAAAAATCTTTTATTCCAATCGATATATTTCCAAGTATTTGTGCATGTTTTTTTCTTGTAAAGTCCTGCGGCCGGATTGTTGAAATTTTAACTGGCTATGTCGGCACGATAAGACGAGACATAGCCCTACATGCGCCGTGTAAAATATCGATTTTCGATTCTTGTCGTGCCGACATAAATTTCAACAATCAGGCTGCAGTGGACTGTCCTCAGCATATGCCATATTTTTCTCAAATATTTCCTCACCCATCGAATGTTACTCAGGATGAATTTCAAGTTTTGATAATTATTTGTTTTCTCGCCACGAACTTGATTAAGAGCTGAAATATTGTAACATTATACCCATCTTATTTTGGCCTTCATACAGTAATTTTATTGTTAAGATCTTAATAAAGAATATCAGTGCTGAGGCCAAGGCTGTGGCAATTGAAGCAATGGAGTGTCAAATGGAGCAGTTACATCAGATGCCAACAGGAGGGTGCAAAAAACACTTTAAGTAATGGTGAAACAGCGAAATTCAGCGGGAAGAAATTGTTACACATGAGGTAAAAAGTGTTAAAAGGAGAGATTAAAGAGAAAAAGGAAAAGGGGTGAAAAGAGGGAGAATTCAGTGTCAAAGCTAAAATGGGGAAATTACCATAAGCAGTCTCTGTTTGCCAATCTACCCCTATTTAAGGGGAGGAGTGGAGCAGCCTGGGCATTTGCCCAGCCTTTTTAGTTGGGCTGGGAAAACCCCTTGTCTGCCGTTTCCTAAGTGAAAAGCTTGGCATGAAAAATGTAAACTTTAAATCTCATCACTTTTTTGCCCGGCCTTGCAATAACCGGAAATTAGGTATACCCTACTCAGTTTATTCTGCAAGGGGGTGAGCAGACTTGAAGTGCAGTTGCATTTATGGGACACCTAAAACAGTGCGAACATGCCAGGCACAGGAAGACTTGAAAAATTAGCCCTAAGGCACTTCTGAGTGTTGAGAGGCATCACCAAGTCATCTACTTACAAATGGACCATGTTAAACAGAAAGGAACCAAGCCACATCAGCTATTGCCAAATTTAATTTTTTACATGAAAACGGTTGTGCGGATTTTCGTGCAAATTTCAGTGAAAATTCTCCATGGTATGAAGCAAATTCCTTAAAATTTTCAAAGAAATCCGAACAAACGTTCTCACGTAAAAAATTTAATTGCCCAATTAGACTTGGCAATAGCTGATGTGGCTTGGTTCCTTTCTGTCCAAATGATGAAAAGGCTGGGAAGGTCCTTTCAAGTGTCTAGAAGAACCATGAACCCCCTCCCGAATGCGCTAATGCGCCCTCAGGTATCATTAGGCACGAAAGACTTTCCTCTCGACTATGATATTTGAAGTATTGTGATTTTTGCAGCATTTTTTGCACGACTTGTTGCTGTGAAACATGGAAAATTCTGACCATTGAGAAGAAAAAGAAAATACTCATAGTGCAAAAATGAAGTGTGTGCCGAAAATTTTATAGAGGATTTCCTAGACCCCCCTCACTGAGGCGCCAACAATATCTTTAACTAAACATCGTGTGGTTAGTAGTTAGTGCATTAATAGTGAGTTATTATCTTTGCTGCAGGGGCTGAAAATTCAAGTCACTGCCTTGGATGTAGTCAGAATGCATGTACTTCCTTCCATTGTGGAGTTGGCGATATTTCACTCATATAGTTTTTATTTATTTTCTCGGCGTGATGAACCAACATGCATGCTCTGCTTTTCATTTTTCAAAAAATGAGATTATTTTTTAGTTATAATCAAGATAAAATGACAACTTTATCAGTTAGAAAGTTACAGTATTAGCACAGTACAGATCCAAGAACAGACTCAGGAGTCATACATTTTTTTGTGATTTTTCAATCAATTTTTTTCATTTCTTTTGCTCAGGTTTTTTACAACTATCACGATGGATTTTTACAACCTACCTCATTTCTTAAATGAACCGTAAGTAGAAGAAGAGAGAAGTGACCTTAAATGCAACCCAACATCAAAGATTACTTTATTGTTTTCTTTCCAGCTTTTTTTTAAATGTATTTCTCTGGCTTCCTCGACTGATATGTATATCACTCATGTTTACCATCAAATTCTATCCTTTTTATTTGTTTTGATTGTTTTAGAGTTGCGCACATCTAGTTCTCTGATAAGTGTGATTGGCTGGTTAGGAATATTTACCTACCTAACTCCTACTCTCTGCTGGCAACGAAGCTGTACAGTATTGCCGTGCTTCTATGCAAGATGAAAAGGAAGAATCCTCACCTTTGGTTAGTACTTAACTGTTGATTGTTGAGCCTCTTCCTTCTTTCCTTCAATGGAAAAATGATCAATTTTTCATTGTTTTGCGGCTCTCACCCCTAAAAATTATCAACCAAATTTTATCTTTCTTATTTTGGCTTAGTGCTCTTTTTGAAGGAAACCTGAGTTAGCATCATATTTGTGGAGAAAGTTAATATTTTAGACAAACGCGAGCTCTTCTTCCTGTTTTGTCTCCTAAAAAGGGCAGTTTGTGGTCTCTTGTCGTGTAACCATGGTATTCCCTAAGATGCTCCCCAGTAAGAATTTAAAAGCCATTTCAAGTGTCATTTGATGATATTTAAACTGGTCTTTGCAGTTTATGGTGTACAACTTTTAATAGGTATGGACAATGGATCAAAATTCCTAAGCATAAAAGCTATATCGACGGTGAAACTACCAAACCACGTATCTCGTTTGCGGTGTTTAAAAATCTCCGCTCACATTTTATTTTTTTGAAGTAGACCAAATCAATATCATTCCTTGAAATTTTCACAGAATTTTCTCCGCACGAAGAGGAAAAATCACGGAAATTTTCAAGACTGGACGTTAAGTAGCTTTTCATTTAAAAAATAAGGTATGACAGGAAGTCTGCGACGTCGCAAACCGAGATACGTGGTTTGGTAGTTTCACCGTCGATATGTACATTGCATCAAACAAACTTTAGTGAAACATCTTTAAAGCCCGATTTTCAATTTACAGGAAAATGGTACCCAATACATTAAAATGATCCGCATTTCATGGCAAGGACCATAGCTCACATTTAAATGCAGTGAATCATCGTCTATTAGGCACAATAGTTTCAATGATCCTTAGTACTTATCATACTTTTCGTACTTACTTTTTTTTCTTCTAGGTTTCCAGTTCAGTTTATGCAGATATTGTATAGAGAAACAAATTCTTAACCAACAGGCTGATCACTGAATTAATAGACAAAGCAATGGAAAAAAGGGGAAAACCTTTCGGTTAAAACAGAGTCTTACAGACAAGTGGGGAAAATGATACACTAACTTTAGGGTGTCTTGTTGGTTTCTATCAGCTAATCTATACTTACTTCCTTTGTCTGTTCCAACCACCCACCTCCACCAATAGGATCACTCCATTTTCCTTTCGTCTTCTTTGTCTATCAATTTCAATTATCAGCCTGCAGCCACCATTCCGTGTATTCTTTTTATGGAAGCCTGAGTCTACAAAAGAATCTCAGCGATCAAAAACTTAATTTTTATCATGCAGAGAAAGTTACCTTTAATTTCTCAACCCTCCAGCATCAGGAGAAGGGGATGTTCAGTTCACTAAACAAATGTCAAATTTATAAAAATTTCAAATTCAGATCCTGAAAGTTAGTAACCTTGTGTCTTGGTCTGCAATATTGCAGACTTTCCATAATTTTTTTCTTCTTTTTTCCCCTACCTAATCAGGAAACTAAAAAGGTGGTCAAATAGTGCTGAGTCCACACTATTTTGCAGGGAAAGCAAGGCCAGAAAGTTCAAGAATTTCAATTAGAATTAGAGCTACACATTTTTTATTCTAATTGAAATTCTTGAACTTTCTGGCCTTGCTTTCCCTGCAAAATAGTGTGGACTCAGCACTATTTGACCACCTTTTTAGTTTCCTGATTAGGTAGGGGAAAAAAGAAGAAAAAAATTATGGAAAGTCTGCAATATTGCAGACCAAGACACAAGGTTACTAACTTTCAGGATCTGAATTTGAAATTTTTATAAATTTGACATTTGTTTAGTGAACTGAACATCCCCTTCTCCTGATGCTGGAGGGTTGAGAAATTAAAGGTAACTTTCTCTGCATGATAAAAATTAAGTTTTTGATCGCTGAGATTCTTTTGTAGACTCAGGCTTCCATAAAAAGAATACACGGAATGGTGGCTGCAGGCTGATAATTGAAATTGATAGACAAAGAAGACGAAAGGAAAATGGAGTGATCCTATTGGTGGAGGTGGGTGGTTGGAACAGACAAAGGAAGTAAGTATAGATTAGCTGATAGAAACCAACAAGAGACCCTAAAGTTGGTGTATCATTTTCCCCACTTGTCTGTAAGACTCTGTTTTAACCGAAAGGTTTTCCCCTTTTTTCCATTGCTTTGTCTATCAATTCAGTGATCAGCCTGTTGGTTAGGAATTTGTTTCTCTATACAATATCTGCATGAACTGAACTGGAAACCTAGAAGAAAAGAAAGTAATTGTAATTCTTGAACTTTCTGGCCTTGCTTTCCCTGCAAAATAGTGTGGACCCAGCACTTTTTTACCACCTTGTTATTTACAGTTTAGGCCACATTTTTTAGTGTTTTTTCCTCTTCCTGAAACTAATGAATGTAATTTTAATGTGTTATTATTGTGAATGTAAATTTAATATCTTTGTTGAAAGAATATTATTTGAAAATTTAACACAACCAGGTTACCTTGTTCTTCTTCACAAGATTAAAATACCTAAGCACAAAATTTTAAAACTCTGCTATCGAGATACTTAATTTCCGCATTTTGCAATTTATATGGTTATTACGTCACATTTCTGTATGCTAATTTTTTTTATTTTTTTCATATTTTTTCAGAACTCAGTTTAAAAGTGGATGTTTTAAAGAAATTCTATGGACCTCATTGTCGGTTTTTGCATGTAAGTTTTTGAAAATACTGTTTTGTTCACCCTCTTTTCTATTATGCACCAAAATCAAACAACTCTGTAACCATGGCTGATTTCCGAATAAAACGATTGACTAATTTATTTTATGATGTGGTGAAAGGCAAAAAAACAGTCAACTCTAACAATGCAAACCTCTTCTTAGAAGCCGTCACTCATCAGTCAGGAGCAGTTCAAATCCTCTCCCGCATAGTTGCTAGCGAGCATGCTCTTCAGGGTTTGCTGCTCGCTTTTAGCTCAGATACGTCTCTGGAATTTTTGAATGGTCCCCTGACCTCTTTTTTAATGTACATCAAGGACCCAGAACTGCAGACTCTCTGTGGGGGTGCTGTTGTACGGAAACTTGTGGGAAAGCTAATGGAAGCTCCATTGACTTTCAAAAGTTTTGTCAAAGAAGCTAAAAGTCAAACTTTAAATGAAAAAGCTCTCTGTGCATTCGCATGGCTATTACTACAACTGCTTACACTGCCAACAGTTGAAGCAATCAGTTATCTGCCTGTTGCTGAGGATCCAGCCATTCAGAGAGCTTTAATAAACTCGACTGGGACATCTTCATATGAAACCAGAACCCTCGGTCAACGAATTATCAAAATTGCGAACACATTAGCTGGAAGTTCGACCTCCAAGAATGTATCACTTGGACAACAAGGTCCTGGTGGCAGACACGATAATGACTTTGCTGAGATTCACAACATTTCCATCTATCCAACATCTGACGAGTTGAGGACAAAATCTCCATTCTTACCCAGGGCATGTGATGTGCAACAAAGAGCACACGAATCCGATGGCCTGGCCAATCATATCGATTGGCAGTTTCGACTTTTAAGAGAAGATATGTTACGTGATTTGCGTGAGGAGCTTGCGATGTGGGGACAGCCCAAAAAACGTAGGAGACTTTTGGTAATTGAAAACCTGTCTATGGCTGGTATTCAATGTGATCAACGTACCTTTTGGTCGCTGATGCTCCGCTGTCGAGATGAACTGCCACCATTTAAAAATCTAAAACCAAATGAGCGTAAGCAGTTTCTCAAAGATAATCCTAAATTTTTAAGGAATGGCTTCCTGGCGTGCTTATTTGTCGGGAACGATTTTATTACACTGGGCACGCTAGTACGCGATGAAAATTTACTAACCCAACTTCCAACGGTACTTTGCATCCAACTTCCACCCAGTGGTATAGAAAAAGTCTTGCTGCAACTCAAAGAAGCCAGCTCAGGTATCCGTCTTCTACAGGTTGACACGGCAATTTTTTCTTATGAACCAATTTTAACACAGTTGAAAGAAATGCGAGAACTTTCGCTGGGTCAAGAAATTGTTGCGTGGAAAGTTGGGGATCCAGTCCCACCACCAGATTACAATCTTAGTGAGGAGTTGTTAGACTTGATGGAACATCTTTATATTGATTGTTCCCATGACTTGCAGTCTTATCTAAGACTGCAAAATTCCACCAAGCTGGATCAAGCGCAGGCAGAATGTTTCCTAACAGCCCTTCAACAGAAAGTGACGGTCATACAAGGACCTCCTGGAACTGGTAAATCTTTCATTGGATCTTTAATTGGTAAAGCAATATACCAATGGAGTACTGAAAAGATATTAATTGTTTGTTATACTCATCATGCTTTGGACGAGTTCGTCAAAGACCTTTTAAACTTAGGTATCCCTGACCAGGAAATCGTTCGTCTTGGTTCAGTCCACAAAGCTAAACAGCAGACGAAGTCGTTAGCTTTGAAAGAGTTGCGTCAAACCATGAAACTAACTCGTGAACAGTATAACATGATAAGTGCCAAAAAATTGGATGTAACGAAGTATGGTAATGACCTCTATAGAGCCTTTGGAGAATTCGCCCAGTTCAACCCCAATCATCGAGACCTACTGGGATTTTTAGAATTTGCGGATGAAGACCTCCCATTTTTTAGTGCCTTTAAAGTGCCTGAAGATGAAGATGGCTACACCTTTGTCACAAGATCTGGGGATAAAGTCAACGATTTGTACTTGGTTCAGCGTTGGGCTAATGGCCAAGATGCTGGTATTTTCAGAGATAAAATACCACGCTACTGTCGTGAAGTCTGGAGCTTACCAAACGATGTACGCTTTCAAAAGTGCCGGCAATGGTACCAGGAGCTGGCTAAAGAACGAGCTAAACAGGTACGAGAAACTGGCAACTTATATAATGACAGTATTGGAGAGGTGGATAAAATCCTTTTGGAAAAAGATCTTGCGGTAATTCGTAGTAAAAGAATTATCGCATGTACCACAACTGCAGCTGCAAAGTACAGTGAGGCCATCCAATGTATCTCACCGGGAGTTCTTCTCGTTGAGGAAGCAGGAGAAATACTCGAAAGTCATGTACTAACCGCTCTCGGTCCAAGCACCAAACATCTCATTCTTATCGGTGATCATAAACAACTGCGACCGAAAGTTAGTTACGAGCTGAGTGTCGAAAGAGGCCTAGGATATGATTTAAATAGATCATTGTTTGAAAGACTCATTTTGAAAGGGTTTCCACACCATACTTTGTATGCTCAACATCGTATGAGACCGGAAATCTCAGCTTTTGTTAGAGAAATGACGTATCCAGAACTGAAAGATGCGAAAGATACTGAGGGAAGGCCAAACCTTCGTGGGTTTACTGATAATATAATCTTTGTGAACCACAGTGAATTAGAGACAGAATTAACTGGATTCCGAGAGTTGTGTGATTCCACAGCAACGTCTTCAAAACAAAATCGGTTTGAGGCCAACATGACCCTCAAGTGTGTGAGATACCTCGGCCAGCAAGGCTACAGGTCTGATGAAATTGTAGTTTTGACACCCTATCTAGGTCAGCTTAGGCTACTGTATGATGTTCTAAAAGCCTTTAATGATCCTGTTTTGAATGATCTTGACTCACATGACTTAGTTCGTGCAGGTCTAATGCCAGATGCATCTGCTCAGATTAGCAAACCCGGACTGCGGATTTCGACCATCGACAACTTCCAGGGAGAAGAAGCGAAAATCATTGTTGCATCCCTTACAAGAAGCAATGCAAGCAATGATATAGGTTTTATGTATGCACCAGAGCGTCTCAATGTCCTTATCTCCAGGGCAAGGGATGCTTTGATTTTAATAGGCAATGCTGAGCATTTCATGGGCTCTCGTAAAGGCGGTGATCTATGGACAAGGTTCATTGGAATGTTAAAAGCTGGCAATCATGTTTACGATGGCTTCCCAGTTCATTGTGAGCGGCACCCTGATCGCAGCGCCCTTTTGAAGAAACCAATCGACTTTGACCTCGAATGTCCAGATGGAGGCTGTAAAGAGCCGTGCGACAAAACTCTAAATTGCGGCATTCATAAATGTCCTGACAAGTGTCACCTGCTGCATGACCATTCGAAAATCAAGTGTACGGCAAATGTGACTTCTAAGTGTCCCAAAGGACATGTCAACAAGCGAAGATGTCATGCCCAGAAGCCTGATGTTTGCAAGAAGTGTGATATTGAAGAAGAGAAGGCACGCAAAGCAGCCGATCGAAAAGTGAAGGAACAAGAAGAAGAAGTAAAGCATTTATTGAAGATGGCTGATCTTGATCTTGAGATCCAACGGATAAAAGATGAAGCTGCTCTAAAGGAGGCTGAAAAACAAAGGGAAGCTGCATTAAGACAGAAAGAAAAAGAGCTTCAACTGGCGAAAGAAATGGCTCAAAAAAAATTAGCCTCAAACATCAATCAGCAGAGCACCCCAGCACCTGTAAATCAATCAGTTGGAGCACCATCGGCCCCAGTTGCGGCAGGTACTGGTCAGCCGCAGCCTAAATCGAAACCAGGACCTTTAAGTGGAGCGGAAGCAGATTGGGAAAGACAGAAGAAACTCGAAGGTGCCTCTAATGATGCCATTGATGCTCTGATGAAATTAACTGGACTTGAGGCAGTGAAGGAAAAGATGCTAGATATCAAAACAAAGATAGAGACAGCTGCGCTGCAAGGCACAGATGTTAAAAAAGAGAGGTTTAGCGTGACAATGCTTGGTAATCCTGGCACTGGTAAAACAACTGTCGCTAGGATATATGGTCAATTTCTCGCCTCGGTCAATGCCATTCCTGGTGCAGAGTTTGTGGAAATCACCGGCGCAAGTCTTGCAAATGATGGTGTCGCCGGGGCAAAAAAGAAAATACAGGAGCTCGTGAAAGCTGGAGGAGGAGTATTTTTCTTGGATGAAGCGTATCAACTTGCAAGTGGTAACAACTACGGTGGTGCAGCCGTTTTAGATTACCTTCTTGCAGAGATTGAAGAGCAGCGTGGAACTATCGTTTTTATTCTTGCTGGATACAAAAAAGAGATGGAGAAATTCTTCGAACATAACCCAGGCTTTGCGAGCCGAGTACCTCACCAACTCGATTTCGTAGATTATTCTGATGAAGATCTCTTAAAGATGCTGGGAAAAATGATAGAAACCAAATATAATGGTCGAGCAAAGTTAGAAGGAGGTCTTGATGGACTTTATGCCAGAATTTTGATAAAACGCCAAGGTAGACAAAGAGGATCAAGGAATTATGGGAATGCAAGAGATCTCGAAAATACATGGGCCCGCGTAACAGAGAGACAGGCTGCTCGATTTAGGAAAGAACGAAGAGAGGGTGCAAACTTCGATCCCCTTTTGTTTACAAAGGCTGACATCATTGGGCCAGAGCCTTCAGATGCCGTGAAAAATTCAGCTGCCTGGCGGAAACTTCAAGAACTAATCGGGTTAGAATCGGTGAAAAGAGCGGTTGCCGGTTTCGTCAAACAAATCGAAGTTAATTATGCCCGAGAATTGGCGGAGGAGGAACCTCTACAGGTGAGTCTTAATCGATTGTTTCTCGGATCTCCTGGTACAGGAAAGACAACAGTAGCCAAACTTTATGGTGCAATCCTAGCCGACCTAGGCTTGCTGTCGAAAGGGGAGGTAGTGTGCAAGGGTCCAGCAGACTTTGTTGGTGCTGTGCTAGGAGAGTCTGAAAAAAACACTAAGGCTATCCTTGCAGCCTCTACAGGTAAAGTTCTCTTGATCGACGAGGCGTATGGACTGTCACCTGTTACTGGAAATATCGGTTCTAGCGGTGGTGGTGACATCTACAAGACAGCGGTCATCGACACGATTGTCGCTGAAGTCCAAAGCACACCTGGAGAAGATAGGTGTGTATTACTTCTGGGGTACACTGATCTTATGAAAGATATGCTTAAAAACGCCAATCCAGGTTTGAAGCGGCGGTTCCCCTTGGAGTCAGCATTTGTATTCGAAGATTATGACGATGAGGCGCTCCGCAAGATTTTGGAGCAGAAACTAAAAGCTCAAGGTCTAAAAGCAACTGATAAAGCCAAAGATGTTGCCATAAATTTACTTTCACGTCTTCGAGATCAACCCAATTTTGGGAATGCAGGAGAGGTAGAGAACCTCCTCTCTAGAGCCAAAGATAATTGGCAAAAAAGACAAATGGATAAAGATATTACTGATTCCGTCATCTTTGAACCGGAGGACTTCGACGAGAAACACGACAGGGCTCAAAAATCAGACTTAAGTGTCAAAGAATTATTTTCGGACATTGTTGGCCTTGAACAGCTGAAGGATAAACTAGAGGGTTATCAAAAGATGACCGTGAATCTGAAAAGGAGAAAGAAGGAACCGCGAATGTTCATCCCCTATAACTATGTATTCAAAGGACCGCCTGGAACAGGTAAAACAACAGTCGCTAGGCGGATTGCTCAGTTTTATTATAATATTGGCATCCTACCCACAAATGAGTACACAGATTGTTCAGCAGCTGATCTCGTTGCTGCTTATGTTGGTCAGACTGCCCTCAAAACAAAGGAGACGCTAAGGTCAGCGTTAGGGAAAGTGTTGTTCATTGATGAGGCATATCGTTTAGCAGATGATCATTTTGGGAAAGAAGCTATCAATGAGATTGTTGACTGCCTGACTAAACCAGACTTTATTGGTAGGATAGTTGTAATTTTGGCCGGTTACACAGATGATATGAACCAGTTTCTGAAGGTCAATCCGGGACTTGCGTCAAGATTCCCAGAAGAAGTTTTCTTTGAAAGCATGCAACCCAAGCAGTGCATTGAATTACTACACAGTCAATTATTAAAATCTGATCTCGAAGTAGAAACTGATATCTACACTCCAAATGTTCCAGGATATCGTCGGATTTCCGAACGCTTCTCAGAATTAAGGAAGCTTCCATCATGGGGCAATGGACGCGATGTTATTACATTAGCCAAAAAGATTGTTGGCACAGCCTTTAGAAATGCCGATCCCTCAATTGCTACAATAAAAGTAACTTCGGCAGAAGTCCTGCAGGCTCTAAATGCAATGCTGGTCGAACAAACGGCGCGCTCTATGCCAAATACTTCAGTTCGCAATATTCAGAATAAACCGTTTAATCTCCCTGTTCAGTCGCAAAATAATACATTCGCACCGCCCAAAATCACCACCTCGTCTAGTGTGAAAACTGCTTGTCCTACAGCTTGCCCACCTCCCGAGCCTGAAGAAGAAGTCAGCTTGGTAAAGGCAAAGAAACAATCTGACGGTCGTGACCCTGGAGTATCAGACGCAGTCTGGCAGCAGCTTCAACTCGACATGCAAGCGCAAAAGAAACGGGAAGAACAAGCGCAAGCTGAAATCCAGCAACAGGAAAAAATGTTGCAGGAGGCACAACAGAAGTTGAAGGAAGCCTTGGAGCAATTCAAACTTGAAGCAGAAAAAGTCGCAGAAAAGGTAAGAGGTGAAGAGGAAGCTCGACGTTTGCAAGAGCTGGAGAAAGCCAGAATCCGCGCTATCCAACTTAAACGAGCTCAAGAGGAAGAAGAACGTCGGTTACAAGCTCTGCGAGAGGCACAGCAGCGTGAACGCCAACGAGAGCAAGAAGCACAGAAGAAACTGAGACAAATGGGTGTTTGCCCCGTAGGATATCGATGGATCAAACAATCCAGTGGATACAGGTGTGCTGGAGGATCTCACTTTGTATCGGATCAACAGTTGGGTTTTTAATACCTTAAAGAGGCTAGAAGATGTGTAAAGTTGTATTTTGTAAATATTTCCACAGACCTAAGTTGCTTATTGTACTTTACATGAGGATTAAGCTATGACACCTTTCTAAAATAAAAAGTCTTAAGTATGTTATAATTTTTGGTTTAATTACCATCCTGAGAAAATGCTGAGAAATGCTGTACATTAATGAGGTTTTCCATGAAATCATCCGAAGTATTACGCCAGAATACTGACCTTGATTTACTCAATATATTTGAAAAATGCAGTTACTTGATGTTGGTGCCTTACTCTTAAATGTCTAATTCGTGTTTCTAATATTACATAGACTATATAAAAAGATGAAAGATTAGACTTTGTCTTTAAAATTTTGAAAATTTTGTAAAGAGATACTTTGCCTGAAGTCTCATTGATATTCAGGATTATTCGTGATTTTTTATAGAATTAGTGATGATTGTGCTCACATCTGAGATTATTTTGTTAGATTAAGTTTTTACATAGGTATGTGTTTCTGACATCTGGAGGTGCTCATGTTTTTGTTTTCCTGGTTAAAGTTGTCCATGATAAAACCAGCCTTAATATTTCCCCTTTTTCTTTTGTTCCTTTTCTTTCTCTTATGGATGTAAAGAAATTAAAGTTTTTACCCAACAAAATGTCATTAAGACACAATAAATGTTGAATCTTCACTAGCTGTAATGAAGGCCACATGTTGTCTAGCTTTTTGTAATGGTCTGGCAGCCTAAACCTGAAATGTACTTTTGAAAGTTCTTACTCAAATCCCATTCAGTAAAAATAAAATTTTTCTGGATGGATAGCTATTAAATACTATTTGCCAACAAGATTTTCGGAGGCATGGGCATGTATGTTGAAAAATTATTCAAAGAATCATCCTTAAGAAAACATAATCCATCCATCTCCTATATCCTGTATTCAAGCTTTTGTGCTCAGAACCAATTCCTTTGTCTCGACCATTTTGTGACTGATAAAAAATTGCTTAGAAATGTTATGCATCATGAATGCGTTGCAGATTTTTTTATTGCATCAAGTATAATTTGCATTTTTTCATTGCCATGTTGTTGTTGTTGGTTTTTTTTTTTCAGTCAAGAAATCTTAATGGATTCGTATTTCCATTCTGTGTGTCTTTTTTGTGACCAGGTTCATGTTATGACTGAAATACTGAAAAACTGTTAGAAATGTGCATCATGATTGTGCCACACAGCTATTTTACTTAATTATCATTTTTGTCATTTCATCGATATGCTTTTTCAGTATTTAAATGGTAATGCTATATTTGAAAGGCTTTTTGTTATTGCTATACAAAAAAAAAAGTTGTTGAAAACTAGTCACTAGAATGCAATTTGACAATTGATTCATAGTATCAACTTTTTTTTTCACAAATAAATGAGCTGAAATTGTTCATAATTTCTCCTTAAGAAGTTAATTTTTGACCTTTTTTTAAGCTGGTACGTAATTTACCTTGTGAAACTTAGAAGCTTTATACTCAGTAAACCTATCTTAAGCAAGTAATTCTGTTTGTTGAAGAGTTGTCAGTTAGCAAAGTTTTATTTTTTAACCGATGGAAAGAGTTGTATTTTAAATTTTTCGGGAGGTGATGAAATGTATATTTTACAAGTGAAAATTGTATATTTTATTTAAAAGTTACCTCATCTTAGTCCTCAAAATTTTTTCTTTGTTTTTCATCACTCAACATTTACCATATATCAGACCGTAAGTTTGTTTTGTGATTTTTCATCCTTTGTTATTGCTTCCCTAAGTTTCACCTATTCTTTCTTTTTAGTTTTTTTTAAATGTTAATTTCCTTTTTTATATTTGATTTGTTAATTTTTGACTTAAGTATTTCATACATCCGAAGCCACTCTAAAGTTCCAGTTATGCTTACTCTTCCTCTCGTTCATAGAATTATTTTTACACATTAAAAATGTGTTTGGTACTGCGCCTGTTCTGCATTTATGTGTTTTCGTTAAAGTTGTCATTTAAAGTGTATTTATCTCTGAATTTATAATCTGGAAGACAAAAGTTCCGAGAACAAAAAATTCAGGCAAAACGTACCATCTTCTTCATTGGCTCTGATCTAGAAAGAATTGTGTGGTACTTATAAATTACGTAATCCTTGTATTTTTTTATTGTACCACATTTGCATTAATATTTGAAATTGTAACATTCTTCATATTTTGCCTTTTAAAATAAATACCGCTTTTAAGTTTCAGTTTTTGCCTCTACAAATTTTTTCCTTCGCGAAGATTGTCATTTTATAAGAAATAAGATCATAGTATCTACTAGTATTTTAAGCCAAAGAGGTGTCATTTTCTCTGCATTAAAGTTGCTTTATGTTGAGAAAAAAATAGAAAACGAATTATTCTCCTGAAAAATTCAAAATACAAATTAAAATAGTCCCTAAAAACCACCAGAAGAAACTAAAAAATTATCTTGTGAACTAATTTTTTGCACAGACACAAACCAATGTTTAAGTTAAAGAAATCAAAATGAATTTTATCTAATCAACTCTTCACTGCTGTAAAATTTTTCCTCAAGAATTTATCACCTCGAAAAACGCAGCCACTCTCGAATCAACTTGAGCTGAACCTCCAACCTCCCTCCCCCCTCCCCCATCACTGAGCAGAATAAATTGATCAGTTCATTTTCAAATGAAACAACTAGTAGGCTCGCGATCCTTTAAAGAGCTTCAAAATTCAACTCTCAAAACATGAGATTTCAGAAAGCATATAGGAGTTTGAACTAATAACAGTTGCAACACATTCTTGACACAATGGAAGTCTGTATTTAGGATTTTCTCAGCAAATATTTTTAGGCATGAGCATTTAGCACTATAAAAAATCCAGCAAAATGCATTTTTTCGTAATCACAGCCACTGATTCCTCAGCGGAAGGAACAATTTGTTTTTCCAGCTTTTTAAGTGCACCATAAGTTTTGCCATATTAACAGAAGTATTTCGTTTCAATGATAAAATCAATTTAAGACATTGCGCTCAAAAGACTGTACCTAATTTTTATAGCCTTAAATGAGGGAAAATATCTCGAACATCTCTGTCTTAAAGTAAAGATCAAATTAGGTCAGAATTTACAATCCAACCAACGTTGGTAGTTGAAAGGAAATCATCGAGTTTGACTTTCGCTCAGTCACCAAGCAAAACATCGAAACAAATGTCAAACGTTAAATAAGTGCATACTTGGACGGATTTAAATCGGAAGGAACTACATCCAATCTGACATGAGCTCTGAGATCTATGAGAATGCATGTATGGCAGGACCTATGCCATTATGGATGTAGTTCCTTTTGATTAAAATACTTCACTTTACAAATTGAATGAAATGGCATGAGTTCAATAGAAAGGCAGAAAAGTCTCATCCAAATCGAACCGAAAAAGAGAGATTCAAAGTTTTGTTTCTTCACCCACAGCCAACCCCCTTCGAACCAATAACGATTATAGATGGATCCCATTCAAGGGGGCACGTGCTTTCCTTATCGCATTGATTTTATTTTTCACGTGAACTTGATGGGTAGGGACACTTCCTTGTACTCGAAGTGTCTCCACTTGAAAGCTGCCAAAATGTAGCCTCTCCTAGCATCGGCCCCCTCCCCCCCCCAACCCACACGACCTTTTTATTGTGAGATTTGGTGTCACTTGGAGACACAAGAAGACTTCAATTTATTTATTTATTTATTTACAGTATCAACGGGTCATAAAGACCCATTTGCTAGACACTAAAACAAAACAAAGACCGTGCAAGACGGCAATAAGGTTGAAAAAAAAGAAAAAAAGGGAAAAAAAAATTATCGCTTACTTTATATTGATGGCGAAAGTGCAAAGCCACTTTTCTCCACTGCGGTGTTTCATAATTTCCGCTCCTATGATATTTTTGAAAAGAGAAACAAGCCAACTTTACATTTTGAAATTTATACAGAATATTCTGCTAAAAAAAAAAGGAAAAGGCAAAGAACTTTCCAAGAAATTACGTCGTCAAATTTTCCAATGAAAAAATTTAGGAAGACAAGTCTGCAACGTCAACGTAGCAAACGGAGATACCTATGTGGTTTCGCAATTTGGCCATAATAAAATAAATTCTAGGTGTCAGAAAGAAAAACAATTCGCAATGCAAGAAACATCGCAACGTTATTTTAATTTTATTCCATTTTTCAGTAAGTGGGGCCCCTTCAATTTGAAGTTCGGCAACATTCATAAATACCACTTCAAATGCAATTCATTTCATTACTTTTACCATGTAATCGCAACTTATCTGCGCAATCTGTGCTACTTGGATAAGTATCCTAAAAAATGAAGGGAAAACATGCATACGCGTTGGCGTTTTGCAGAAATTTCGCTCTTTATATCGGAGAAAATTCAGGAGCTTCTAGTTCTGGGTAACAAGTTGACGTTTTTCTTCCGCAGCGGGCCTAAGTTATAGTTAAAGAAGACAAAAGGAGCATGAAGGGATCCTATTGGTGGAAGCGAGTGGTTGCGATGGACAAAGGAGGAAGGTAATAGGCAGACTAACTGCAACCCACGAGAGACCCTCCTACAGTAGGTACCAGGCCCGCCACATCCCATCTCGGGCCCTGGTACCAGTTTTAAGGTCCGGGCCCCAAGCACGGAGGGGGGGAGGGTCTGAGGGGCATCTCCCGAGAAATTTTAGAATTTATGCGACTAATCGGACGCATTTTGAAGCTTCCATGAAGAATTTTTTCATCAATTTCTGCGGAATAATTATGTTTTTTATTTTCTACTTTCAGCACAAAATACTTGCGAATTGTTGCATTCAAAACATCTGGAAAATTTTTATTATTCTTTTTTTTTTGGGGGGGGGGCCGGGGGGCGTATTATACTATTTTCAGTTCAATGAGGGCCAGGCCCCCTTGGACTCCCCCTTCATTTGTCTATGGCAAGGGGGTTGAGCCATGAGCCATTGAAGTCGAGGATGCCCAGACTGGAGAGGTGGAGACTCTTCGCATCTGATGACGGAAGAAAAAGAAACGTATAGTTACTAAAAATATCCCTCTGTACTGAAAATCTTGAAAAAAGATAGACATTTTCCAAGAAGTAAACCTCTTTGAAAATTTAAGAAGAATTCTACAGTGCCCCAGCGTGTTTCTGAAAATCTATTCACCTTTTGCGAAATTTTTAGGGTAAATGTTTCACTTTTTCTTACGTAACAAGGGTTGCATGTGAATTCGTAGTGGTTTTTCACGGGTAACACGGGCCCCGTTGTGGGCCCGGGCCCCGGTACCAGGGACCCAGTATCCCCCCCTTGTGGCGGGCCTGCCTACATGCAGGCTGGGCTTGTCGATTTCCTCTGAAATTTTTGCAGGGGTGAATGGATAGCTGAAGTGCGCTTCAGCTAGAATTGTATTTACAAATGGGTGGTTTTTCTACGAGGATTAAAAATAAACGAGTGGTACGGAATGTAACAAAAGAATATGAACTTTGCAAAACGATAATCCGGGTATCGGAAGTAAGCTTTTTTTAAAAACGCCTTCAAATGCGGCGTGATACCTCACGCATTCCGGAGAGTTCAAATAGTTGTATCATTGCGCCTTCGAAATGCGACGGAAGATTGCAATTTAAATAGCCTTCATGCACGCTGGCCTTTTCGATTTCCGTTAACATTATTGCAGTCATGAATGCGCTTAAGTGCGCTTCAGCTAGAATTGTATTTACAAATGGGTGGTTTTTCTACGAGGATTAAAAGTAAACGAGTGGTACGGAATATAACAAAAGAATATGAACTATGCAAAACGATAATCCGGGTATCGGAAGTAAGCTGATTTGAAAACGCCTTCAAATGCGGCGTGATACCTCACGCATTCCGGAGAGTTCAAATAATTGTATCATTGCGCCGTATGGGTTGCATGTGAATTTGTAGTGGTTTTTCACGGGTAACACGGGCCTTCTCCGGGGCCCGGGCCCCGGTACCAGGGATCCAGTATCCCTCCCCTTGTGGCGGGCCTGGTAGGTACCTAGTTGTTAGTCCATCATCATCCTCTCCCTCAGTCTATAGGAAAGGAACCATCCATTTCAACCAATATGATCGCTCCATACTCCATATATCTTCTTTGACTACTGCTTTGTCTATCAATTTCAATAATCAGCCCGCAGGTCAAAATTAGAGACCGCTCCGCCGAGCATTGTGTCGGGACTTGGGAAGCCAAAAAAGTGGCGAAAGTTACCTCAAAAGCTCGTAGTACACTTTTTGCCTTCTTTGCCAAATACTTAAGTACCCTAAGGCGAATCTGTCGACAGTCAAAACCTTCCCATGGAAGAAAATTAGGATACTTTTTGAAGTATGTAACATACTGGTTGCTAAAATAATGTCCGACGACCGTAAAAGTTTGTGTCATGCCTTTTCACGTCCTGAGGGAACCTGATGAGCTAACTTAAACGCAGACAAACGTTTTGAGGTCGGCGCAAATTTGTTTAACAATTTGGACATTAATTCATTTACTTACTTAAAACCTTTTATCAATTATATCTAGCAAAAATTCCGCATATTTACTGGGTACTTATGTTTTGATTTTCTCCACTGAAAAGTTACGATTGCGGGTTTGCCTTCAAAGATGGTTCAATAGCATGAACTCCTTCAAATAGGAGGTTGGCAACCTGCCATACGTATACTTTGTAGCCGGGCTAGGGGCCCCCCACCCCGGCTGCACGAACCTTGTAAACTATCAAATTGTAGACAGTTTCAGAAAAGTTTTCAAATTTTACGACTTTTATCTCCTCCTCTAGGAAACAATTTGGATTACAAGCCCTTCCCACGTGAAACGTTTCCGGCTATGCCCCAATCTTATCGCTGAGCTTGCTCGAGTTACGAGGATCACGAGAACATGAATCCGAAGTAAAATGAGATTGTTCTTTTCTCTCTTTGATTATATCCACTCTTTATCTCTTTTCCCTTTCATTCTTCCCCCCTCCGTCCTCTCTCTGGTTATTATTTGCGTCATATGGTTGCGAAGCGAGCTCCGCTCCGAGTCATTAGACTGACGGAAGTTCTACATACTTAGTTGCATACTAAAAAGATAAAGAGAACTGCTGTTGCCGAGCATGACGGGATTAGATCGAATACCCGAACCCATGCCATGCCCCCCTCTCGCTGTCCACGCCCCGAACGCCCCCAGGAATGTTGGGAGAATTTCGGAGTAAGCATCAAAGGAACATCGTCGAGAGGGAGAAATATTTACATTTTGGCGCGAACTTCAGTGACCGTACATTCTCTCACTTGCGGGGGCTCATGTGGCACACCCCTCCATACGCCATACCCTGCTAGCTGAGAATAAATAAACATAAAAATTCGCCCAGCGACTACAGCAGAGTAGCAGCGTCATAGAATAAATTCAAAATAAATTCTATGGCAGCGTCGCGTCTCCGGAGCACCGAGGCCAGGCCGACAGCAGCGTCGCTCCATCGCGGCGCGGCGCGGCGTCAGCTGATTTCGGAACGCTCTGATTGGTTGGCTGAATTCGAGCCGGCTTCGCTGTTATGATTCATCTCACAACCTCAACCGTCTCGACGCCGGACGCCGGCGTCGCCGGCCAACGGTCGTGCTTTGCTTGTGTTTTTGTTTATCTGTTTAGTCTCGAGATTTTGCTCTTACTTTTCGACAAAGAAACCTCTTCGTTTAAAAAAGTTATTAGTGTTTTTCCCATCTGCCGAGACAGATAATCGGGTGTTAAAAATTATCGAACACTACAAGCAATTAATTATTGAGGCAGTGCTAAACACATACATACCATTTGATGCGTTCAAAGTATCCCTGCCCAATTCTCATTTACCGTGATTTGTTTGCAGGTGTGGGAACAATTATTCTGTGAAAGGCGTTCCTTGTAGATAGATGGTACCTTTACATCGCATTGGGCGGAGCTGCCTATTTCTCACATCCTTACGTTACCTCACTACTTCGACTTCTCTTTGAGGTAAGAATCCCCTAATTTGCTAAGGTGATTTTCGAATGAGTCAGAGCTAGAGGGCTTATTTACACTGCAAAAATGGTGAGTTGCATCGCAACGTTGTCAAGTTTCGTAGACAGCACGTACGGCTCTTTTGATGAGACGATAGATAGGCAACCCGCATTGGAAAATGCGGGGAATCAACGGCTCTTTCCAGCAAATTGGGTGTAAGACATTGAACGGCAACTAGAACATGCATACCAAGTTGCAGCGGTTCAATTGAAGGCGCGTCTTTACCCTTCTAGCTGCCTTACCCAACTGTCTAACGTCAAGCCTTACGCGCGGTCTAGATTGAAGTATTGAATTATCCGCTCAAGAATTGAAGAGCTTTCCTTTTTGCATTGCAGCTCTGCAAAGTTTTATTCATTATCTAGGTATCTCCAAATTGATTGCCAATTTCTTTCCCAAAATTTTTGTGGAACCCTTTGTGATTTGTCCCAAAATCTTCAGTGTCAAATTGCTCATTCTCTCTCGATGAAAGAAGTAAGTTTTCAAATGGAAATCCACAACGTTGCAATTTAATTTAAGTAACCCCTCTTGCTCAAACCCTTTTATTCAGAAGACGCGGTTCAGTTTTGATCGTTTGCGACCACTATTTTTAATCATTATTTTGGCTACCCTGTCATGGGTGCGGAACTGGAGAGAGCCAGAGCCCTGCCCCCAGACAGATTTAGAGAGGCCTTAAGACTGGAATTTAGGGGTATACCTACAGGGACTTAAAATCTTAGGATTTGGGGCCCCTAATGACCAGCATTCCAGGCCCTTGAGCCCTAACTCAGCCCTGCTTAAGGCTTCAAAGAAATTAGGGGTAAGTAGTTGCGAGTTTATTCGATCCGTTCACGTGAGAGCGGCGCGGCGTCGTGAAGTATGTACGACAAACTGCTGTCGTCAGTCGAAAACGCCTTCAGTTTCGAGTGATACTTCTCCACCCACAGCGGAGTTATTATATTTGTATCTAATCTAAAGTCATTTTTAATCTTGATACTTACTAAATCGTATAGGATATTTCAATCGCTTATCGCCATATTAATGAAGTGTCGTCTCGCATTTAGTTCGCAGAAACCTTGATGAAAACTGTTTGCATATTTGCAAATGTCCTTGTGAGTGTTTTTTATCTTTACAGATTCTAACGTAAGTCCAGGACCGGATTAGTCGGGGTGCCGAGGTGCTGTAGCATTTGGAACTCCGGTCCCACGGGCGTAAATGTATAGTATACCACCTTTTTTAATTCCAGATCCTCTAGGGGTCATTAGAGCCTGAAATACAGATGTACAGGGGCTCTAAGTTCGGCATTGTAGGTGTCATAGAGCCCTTAAATTTTAGGATTTATGGCCCCCATTAACCAGCATCTTGGGCCCTTGACTGCTAATCCGGCCCTGCCTCTGGGGCTAAATGAGCCCTTCTTCGTAGCCGAGGGATACTCACAGAGCCCTTTGGGTGAGGATATCTAGACCTTCTCTAGATGCGACCCCCCCCCCTCACACACACGTACACACTAAAAGGCAGGCGAAGTTAGATAAAGAAAAAGTAACACTTACTTTAGCACTCCTTAAGTATACTTGATCAAAAATAGAAGACGGCCACTAAGTACAAGATGAATGTTGCTATCATCCCGTCAATTGTGCAAGATGAAAGTACTTAGAGGAAAGTAGGTGCCAGGACCCAATTTTAAACGTTTCAAAGTTAAAATTTTGTAATATTAGTTTCGAAACTTCATGACTTTTATCTTATCTTGGTAGTAAATTTTAAACAGTGGAAAATATAACATTAAACACTTCGACAGGCGTAGTATAAGCAATTTGCACATCGGTCCGTATGTGTAGCAGTGTGTAGCGTTTGAAGTAATAAGTATATATCCAAGCAGTTCGCACTATCGCCTCTGAGGAGGGAGGGCAGCGGACCCTCCGACACGTCGTCGTCCGGACAGCTCATTAAGTAAGGAAAGATTGAGTTTTTCAATTTTTAGCGATTTTGTTCTTATAATATCAGGCGCCAGATGATGCGAGCGGGACAGCGGGCGCGCCTTTTTTTGCCCCGTGATAATTTGAATACGCTGCGTCAGCAAACTAAATTATTAGAGGTGCATGCTTTTTTTGCTGGACACTCAGCAAGCGCTTTATTTTGATTAAAATGTATAAATTACCTACCTACTGCTCGCATACTGACTTTTGTGTAAACTATCGCAGCTGCGCGAATGTTTGGTCGACATTACCTGGATTCATGGGCAGAACAAGGAATTTTCTGTGGGGGGCACAGACGGATGTAGAACTTGGGCTAAGGGGGGGTCTGGGGGGACTTCCCAACTGCAGAGGGGGGCCGGGGGGCCTCCCTCGGAAAAATTTGGAACTTGGAACGTCTCGAGAGCATTTTTCAAGCCATTCTCAGTGGCAAATTAAGTGGAATTAAATATTACAGATCAGGGCCGGATTAAGGGGGTGGTCACGTGGGCCGCGGCCCATGGCGGCAAAATGTAGGGGGCGGCAAATTTTGCAATCTTTTTGAATGTAGGTATCAAAAAAAGAGAAAAAAAATCGGATTCAGAAAGTAAATTACAAACGAGAAAAGGCGACAAAATCTATCATTTCCCGAGAGTAAATGTATAGTAATTTCTAATTTTGTCGTTTCGGTGATATAAGAGACAACATCCTTAATTAGTTGAGTTAAGAGAGAAACCATAAAACGCGCAATTTGATCTGGAACGGAGCGGCGCGGCGGTCGGCATGAAACGCATAGCGCCTACAAGACTGCTGGAATACTTCACGCATTGCGTCAGACACACTGCAGTCAGCAGCAGTCGGCTTCAAACGCATAGCGCCTACAAGACTGCAAGAATACTTCATGCATTGCGTCAAACACACTGCAGTCAGCAGCAGTCGGCTTCAAACGCATAGCGCCTACAAGACTGCATGAATACTTCATGCATTGCGTCAAACACACTGCAGTCAGCAGCAGTCGGCTTGAAACGCATAGCGCCTACAAGACTGCATGAATACTTCAAGCGTTGCGCCAACACAGTGCGGTCGGCGCGGCGGTGGAAGTTAAGATTTTTAACCACATTTATGTTTGTTCTTTCATGATTTTTTCCGTTCGTTTTTTATAAATGGAAGGCCTGGTCCAAACAGGGATGGGTTTACGGAACCGAACTTTTGTTAGTGTTTACAGGGCTTTCACAAAAAATGTGCCCAACACGAGTAAACGCTTCTCATACACCCCTCCCCCACCAGCGCGTTCACTTGATGGTTTTTATAGATCGTGTTTGACAGAATACACACAGGTGCGATTATACTGATATCGATTGGTTCAATATGTAACCACAGCCTCAAAAGTCGATTTGGAAATCTGAGGTAACGGGTCTTATGTGATCGAATTTTTATTCTCTCGAGCACCAAATGGCAATGAAAAGTGAAATTGTTAGGAATTTTATCATTTTCAGCTTTTCCAAATTAAATTCTAAAATTTTTGTTTGCGGTTATGTACTATTGTTTTGAACCAAACGATACATCGAACCACTGTCGAATACGATCTATTGATGTTTCAAAACAAATGAGAAGGGGGCGTAAAAATACAGACGGCCCATGGTCGGCAAGTAGGTAAATCCGGCCCTGTTACAGATGACAGAAAGTTTGCTGACTTGTTTCTAGGATATCATTTCTTACTGTAAGTTTTAGTTAATTCAAAACATAACACTGATGGGTTTTATTACATTCCCTATACTTTTTAGCTAAAGACTAATTAGTAGCTTGGGTCCTTGACATTTTTTGAAAATGGCCGAGCAGAATTGTGGGTTGTGGGGAGGGCCGGCAGCCCCCCCCCCTATTTCCGTCCATGTCTGGACTGCGTTTATCTTCATGTTCAAGAGTTATTGCACTGCGACTGCGCTGATTTTTCGTCAGAATCACCTCGACCGCGGAAATTTACCTTCTGAAATTGATCCGACCGCGCTGTGTAATAGAGCGTTGTAGGGAAAATCTATGTGTTTTGCCAGTGCGGAGGCGCACACTGAAGAACTTTCTATACCTCTGCTTCTTATGACGATGTACAATCGCGTAGCCATGTACCTTTTTCACGTGAGGCGGGGAGTGAGAGAGAGAGGGGGAGAGGGGGGAGGGGGAGGGAGGGGGAG